ACAGCCTGGGGGTCTCCCTGACAGCCTGGGGGTCTCCCTCACAGCCTGGGGGTCTCCCTCACAGCCTGGGGGTCTCCCTTACAGCCTGGGGGGTCTCCTCATAGCCAAGGGGTCTCCCTCACAGCCTGGGGGTCTCCCTCACAGCCTGGGGGTCTTCCTTACAGCCTTGGTCTCCCTCACAGCATTCTGGGCCTCCTGGCAACTCGATGCCCTCCTCACACTGTACGGCCTGCGTGTGGTCAGCCTTCTTTCCAGGGGTCAAGAAGTGAGTCCTCTTGCTAATAAGGAGCTGCATCCCCATGTGGCCCAGGCTGGAGTCTTGGCTTGGCCTGGCTTCTGCTGTAGCTGAGTGCCACTGAGCTGGTTTGGAGGAGTGATGTCCTCCAGGGCTCCCACATTGACGACTTGGTGCTCAGTGCATCTGGGCTCCTGGTGAGTCTTTGGGAATCATTGGATTGTGTGGATTCTGATCCCCTGGATGGAGTGCCGAGAAAGGGGGCCTATACAGTAGCACTCCAACACAGCTTTCCTCCTGCTCCCCTCCTCCACTCCCTTCACTAAGCCCCCTTCTCCTGACACAGGACACGAAGATGTGGCCTCTTGGGAAACTCCTCTCTGAGTCTGTCATCCACATGAACTCTGTCACCAACACTGTGCTGGAGGCCTTTGAGACACGTTCCTTCCGAGCCTCAGGAGTTCACTTCTCGGGCGCCTGTGCTGTGCACAGCCGAGGCCAGGACATGGCCGGTATCCATGATTAAAGAGAGGAAGTGGGCCTGGCCTGCTTGGTGCAAGTGCAGACAGCACCAGACCTGTCTCACCAGAGCCTTAGTTGTGCTGGAGTTGGTTGCATTCAATGGGATTTTTTCTAGGGGATGGGGTAGATTGGGGATTGAACTCAGGGCACTTGACCACTGAGCCCCATCCCCAGCCCTGTTTTGTATTTTATTTACAGACAGGGTCTCACTGAGTTGCTTACTGCCTTGGCATTGCTGAGGCTGGCTTTGAACTTGTGATCCTCCTGCCTCAGCCTGCTGGGTCAAGGGGATTTTTTGTAAAAACAAAAATTTCAAAGTTGTGTGTATTTTAAATACTTATAAAAGCTCTCCCAAGTCCAATGTCTCATTTCTTCAGTTCTCTTGACTTTTTCTCTGTTCTTATGCTATTACTCACTCTTTTTTGTTGTTACTATGGTCTTATGTTTTGAAATCTTTTTTTTTAAACTGTTTTTTTTAGCAATTTAGCTACTCATGGATCTTTGCTCTGTTTACATTTGAGAATAGTTGGAGTTTGTCAAATACAACAGGATTTTTGGGGTAGGGGAGCAGTGTTAGGATGGAGCCAGGGTCCTGGGCATCTTAGGCCAGCACTCTTAGCTCTGAGCTAGGCCCTGAGCCCAGCAGCAGGAGTGTTGATGGGGATCACATCTGCATGGCTTACAGATGATGATATCTACTGAGAAAAACCAGCGAAATGTGCACCTACTGTTAGGATTAAAGGAGAGTCCAGCAAAATTGGCAAGTGCATTGTCCGTCTGCCAAAAAGTGACATATCTCATTAGTAACCCATCAAAAAGTGTGATCTCACTGAGGTACTTAAGACAGCCACAAGAAAACCCATAGGTGTTGAGGGACTGAGCATCTCGAAGGCCTCCCTGCAGAAGACCTTGGACTTCACAGGGGGAGGTGGTGGCCCTGAGTAAGAGAGGGAAGACGACCGGGGTCAAAGACGCCTCTTCTCCCCATGACCCATAAGTAAGTCTCGCAGTGATGCTGTCTCTTGAAGCAGGGACTGCGTCTGTCTGCTGCTCCAGTCAGCACTAGGATGGACCCTGGCAAGGAGAGAGCTGCAAGAGAGCTGCAAGAGAGCGGTGGCGCTGACAAGGGCACAGACATGCATGTGGGGCTACGCACCTGCCTTTCACCTGCAGGTCACCACTTGCTTCTCGGTGCCGCCTGGGGTCTGGCCCTCGCGTGTCATGATGGCGTGACGATGGTCATTGCTGACTTCACTGTTCCCCCGAGGAGGGGGGTCTGCAGGCTCTGGTTCCATTCTTTTTACTGTGAATTAAAAGGTATCTGGCATTCAGCTTTTCTTGTCATGGTGTTTCTTGTTTTGCTTTTGGTGCTAAGGATGGAGCCCAGGGCTTCCAGTGAGCTAAGCACATGCTCTACCACCGAGCTCCACCCCAGCCCCTGGCCATGATTTTTAAATGCCCTTTGGAATGAGGCTTTTAAGCACAGAAAAGATTGCTCTACTTTCAAATCAGTATTTCTTAGGGGTACACTTACAGGCCTGTTTTTATGTAGGTTTTATATATTTTATAATTTTTTCAAATTCAATAAGTTTGAACTTTTAAGATGACCTTTGAATAACTCAAGTTGATCATATTAGATACTCTCTTTAGAGTATCATTAGAAAATAATCAGTTCCCTTTACAACTTGAACTTTACAATTTTTTTAATAGAGATTGAGAATTTTTTAATATTTATTTTTTTCTTAGTTTTTGGCGGACACAACATCTTTGTTTTCTGTATGTGGTGCTGAGGATCGAACGCCGGCCGTACGCATACCAGGCGAGTACACTACCGCCTGAGCCACATCCCCAGCCCAAACTTTACACATTTTGAACTATAGTTTTTTTTTGTTTGTTTGTTTGTTTTGGTATCAGGAATTGAATTCAGGGGCACTTGACCACTGAGCCACATCCCCAGCCCTATTCTGTATTTTATTTAGAGACAGGGTCTCACTGAGTTGCTTAGTGCCTCACCATTGCTGAGGCTGGTTTTGAATTCTCGATCCTCCTGCCTCAGGCTTCCCAAGCCACTGGGATTACAGGTGTGCACCATGGTGCCCATCTTGAACTATAGTTTTAAGTTTAGAAAGCATAATTATTTAAAAAAAAACACCTTAGTATCTGACTAAAGAAAAGTGGATATAATAATTTGGAAATACACGTACAGTGGATCTCAATCCTCAGACTTTGTAAACCCATTTACCAGAAAGTGAGCTCTGTGGAGCCATTTCCTGGCCCTGCCCACTGGGCACCCCCAGTTTGAGAGGAGTGCTTGTCAGTCTTATCAGCTTGGAAAAGTGAGGGGAAGTAAGCAGTCTTAGTAAATTTCTCTCAAATATTTTGACTGAAAAAGAGCTAATTTCTAAAATTTAGTAATATAAGTTCTCTTAGTCTTTTTTTCTATTGCTAAAACAAAGTGCCTGAGATCAGGTAATTTATGAAGAATAGAGGGGTTTCTTTGCTTACAGTTCTGAAGATTAGGAAGTCCAGAGTGTAGCACCTGCCTCAGCTGGGCACTGGCGGGCCCTTCTTGCTGCATCATGACATGGCAGAGGGCGTCACATGGGAGATAGCAGGTGTGCCATCTTGGGTCTCTTCCTCTTCCTATAGAGTCACTGATGCCATTATGGTGCCATCTTCATGACCTCATCTAATCCTAATGGCCTCCCAAATTCCCTCTCCATATACCATGAAAATATGGATTAGGGATTACTTATAATACATGGACTTTGGGGAAACACATTCAAACCGGAGTATACCTGCAATACCAAATACATTGACTATTCTGAAACTAAAGACTAAAATGTTAAAATTGAAACCTTTCATCAGAGTTAAAGACACCACTAGGATAGTTACTAAATCATTCAGACAAGTAGAGGTTCCCCTCCGAGACTCCCAGCAGGCCCCGTGGTGTAGGGATGAGCAGGGATGGGGCACTACCATGTCCAACCTTCCCACCCGAGTTGGGCTTCATCTCTCTGGGACTTTATTGAGTCAAACCTGAGCAAAGGGCGGACCTCATGGCTGGACTAAATCAGTCTGGTCACATTTCAATTCTGGAAAACTTGCTGTGTGCTTCCAGTTGGCCAGACTAGCATGCTTAAAAACAGTAAATGGCAGCCTGCTAGAGCCGGCCTGCATTCCACGTTTCTGTCAGCCTTGAAGGTCACGACTCCAGAGCTCTGTTCTTGGGTGGATTATGAGACGTGCAACATTTTCCATGGCTAAGCATGTAGGTGGTCAGTCTGCTTTCCAAACCAGTGCACCGTATGACCTGGGGCCAGCTCCCTTGAGTTCCAGGTTTTACTTCAACTTTGCTTTAAACATATTAATTGGCAGATGAAAAAGGACATGTCTGTATCTATATCTGTAGCACTCTTCCACTGAACTGTATCCCCAGTCCCCAATTCATTCATATTCTCTTTCTCTTTTGGAGTACTGGGGATTGAACCCAGGGATGCTTCACCATTGAGCTTCATCCCTAGTCCTGTTTTTTGAGTCTGGGTCTCTCTAAGTTGCTGAGATCCTCCAGTCTCCCAAATCTCTGAGATTACAGATGTGTACCACTGCACCTGGCCTCAATTGTCTCTTAATCTGAAATCAGCATTGAGTTTGTTTTCTTAAATAAGCATGAGATACTCTTTATATATGTGGTGGTGAGGATCTAACCCAGTGCCTCATACATGCTAGGCAAGTGCGCTACAACTGAGCCACAACCCCAGCCCAGCATTGGGTTTTGACGTAATGCCTGATAGAAGGGTTTTTGGTGAAGGTGAGCCGGCTTTCCACCTTTGTAGGTTGGGTGCTTTTAGTCCTTTCCCAGTTAGTGATAGGTTTCACTTCATGACTCAGGTTCTGTGTTGGGTCCTGCCCTGAGTTGATGGACAGAGGTGATGGCCTGAGCTTAATTAAGATCACGGCCTCTTACAGACTAAGAAGGGGAGCTGCAGCAAGAACTGGGATTCTGCGGGAGCTGTTGGCGCCCTATTGGAGGATGGAGGAACAGGCAGCACTGCTCCCAAAAGGTGGTGTGTCATTCTGCTGGGGAGTGGGGTTTAGTGAGCAGTTCCACAAATGATGAACAACTTTGCAAATGGCTTTTATGAGTGGGGCCATCTTGAGTGGGAGGTGCCATCTGCAGGCACTGTCTTTCTGGCTTCCTTTCTTGGTGTCTAGCAGGAGTGTTGTCCATCTTGGTACTCTGCTCCTCTGTATTTACTCACAATATTTATTATAAGGAGTTGCCTTTAAAAAAAAAAATCTTTGCATGGTCTTCTGATGTAGGGAGAACACATACTTTCAGAGCTTTTGACACAAATTTCAAAATTTTGCTTTAGAATATTTTAATAACTATATCAAATTTACAAAATTTTTTAAATATTTATTTTTTAGTTATAGTTGGACACAACATCTTTATTTTATTTATTTACTTTTATGTGGTGCTGAGAATTGAACCCAGGGCCTTGTATATGCTAGGCGAGCACTCTACCACTGAGCTACAATCCCAGCCCCAAATTTAGAAATTTTTAACCAGTTTTAAAAGAGGATCACAAATATTTAAGCTTTAGAAATAAAATTCTGACTTTCCCTTAATATTTATTATGAACATTTGGAAACAAAACGTTGAAAGAGAAGCGTGATTCCCTGCCACCTGGAGTCCACCGTGGTTGATGTCTGGCCCAAGTGTACTTAGTTATGTGTGTATTTTTGTTGACCCAGATGAAATAAGTTGTGGCTATCATAACCTAAATCGACATGCCTCAGCCCAGCCCCTCAGAGTCAGAGGATCATGCAGTGAGCACACAGCATTATCAAACTGTCAAGGTAACACTCTCTAATACCGACTTTATTTCATATCTCCCCAAATGTCCTTAAATTGTCTTTTACAGCATTTTCCTCTCCTTTCTTTTCTTTTGTTATGGTGGGTTGTGTGTTTTTGGATTTTTGAGACAGGGTCTTATTATGTTGCCCAGACTGTTGTCCAACTTCTGGACTCAAGTGATCCTCCTCCCTTGGCCTCCTGTTAGCAGGGATAGGAGGCATGCACCACTGTTTCTGGTCAGCTTTGTTGGTCAGTTTTGTTTCTTTAGTTTCTTTTAACCCCAGACACTTCCCATACCTTTTATAGAATTTTAAACTTTAAATTTAAATTTAAATTTTGAATTTCAGACACACAAAGAAGTTGCAGAAATCATACAAAGATTTCCTGTATGCTTTCTCCAAATTGCAGCATTACCAAACTCTAGCTTTATTGTGCTTGCTTTCTCCATCTCTGATATTCTCTCTGTCTGTATAAACACATTTTGTCTCTCCCTCTCCAACATTCGAGAAAGTAAGGCACAGGCATGATGCCCGTCTTGGCTACATACTTGACCATGCATCCCCAAACCAGAAGACTCCACTAACTGACCCTAGTATGGTGGTCAGGTAAGGAAAGTAGCACTAATACAGTACTAAAATCCACTCTGACTTTGTTTGGGGATTCTGCCATTTGTTTTACTAATGAGCTTTACAGAAAGAAAAGGACACCGGGGGCCCAGACCCAGTTCAGAGTCACACTGTGGTGGTGTTTCTCTCTGACCCTTTGTGATCTTGACCTCTTGGGTCCCTGGCTGTCTACTTTGTAAAATGCCCTTGCTTTCATCAGCTTCTTCACTGCCATGACCAACAGACCTGACAAGAGCAGCTTAAGGAGGAAAAGTACTTGGAGCCTGAGGTGGTGAGATGGATGTGGTGGAGGAAGGCAGTGAAGACAGGGTGCTGGGAGGAAGAGAGACTAAGCTCAGCTGGCACAGTCGTGCCCAAAGGCACCCCCGCAGTGACCCGCTCCTCTAGGCACATCCCACCTGTCTGCAGCCACCTGTCAGTAACCCTGTCCTGCAGCTTGGGGTCCCAGGTGATGAGGGTCTCAGGGGTGATGCTGGGCTGGAGTCCACAGGGGTCAGAGGGGCAGGTGGAAGTGAAGTTGGAGAGAAGACAGGATTTGAAGGAGGGCCAAGTTTTGATCAAGGAGAAACCGGTAAGAGACACTCAGGGACAAGTCTGCACATGTGTGGTGTCTCTGCCCTGAGAGTGGGATTGAGGGTGGGTGGAGCACAGCGTGGTGACCACACAGTCTGTGGTGCATGGTCTTTCCCTGTGTCTTCACCGTTACACACACTGCTCCCTGGTGAGAGCAGCTCTTGCTGTTAGTAGGGTTGTTCCCAGGGGCAGAGTTTCAGGTGACAGCGCTTCTTCCCGTCCTGCTCCCGGGGGCTTTGCACTCACCAGCTCTGGTGCTGAGCGCCTTCTCCTTGACCCTCAGCTGTTCTTTGTGTGATTGGTACCCCGCCTTCAGTGGCGCTGCCCCGTTCTTCTCTTGTCCCACTGGCTGCTGCGTCCCGTCCTCCTGACCTCCAGACTGACCTGGCACCGCTGCCTCCTGACTCTTCCTGGTGGTCTCCTCTAGTCGGGGGGCTTCACACACTGCATTTGTTGGCAAGGGCAGCTGTGACAAACTGCCACAACCTGGAAGGCTGAGAGCAGTGTGCTGGCAAACGTGAGGCCTCGATGCCATCGCAGGCCCTGTGAAACCAAACCAACCCAGGATACAGTCCTGGAGACCGGAGTTCGGGGCTCTGCCGCCCCTGCAGTCTCCAAGGGAGCGTCCTTCCTTCCCTCTTTGACCTTCTGGTGGCGCCAGTCATCTTTAGGCTCGTGCTGCTTGCAGATGCCACCACAGTCCCTGCTTCTGTCTTCTGTGGGGTCCCTGGAGTGCCTCAGATCTCCTCCTCTCTTCTAAGGACGGCCAATCCCTAGGCTCCAAACCTGGGATGCTCTCTCCTCGAGACCCAAAGTCATCCCATTTGTAGTTCATCTCTTTTTTTTAAGTGTTCATTTTTTTAGTTGTAGTTGGACACAATATTTTATTTTTATGCGGTGCTGAGGATCAAACCCAGGGCCTTGTACGTGCTACGCGAGTGCTCTACCGCTGAGCCCCAGCCGCAGCCCTATAGTTCATTTCTTTTTTTTTTAATGTTTTTTTTAAATGTTTATTTTTTAGTTTTAGGTGGACACAATATCTTTATTTTATTTTTATGTGGTGCTGAGGATCGAACCCAGTGTCTCATGCCTGCCAGACAAATGCGCTACCACTTGAGCCACTTCCCAAGCCCCCTATAGTTCATTTCTAAATCAGGTCCCACATGCAGTTCCTGGGTGTAGGGAGTTAGACATGTTCACACGTACTAGCTGTACCCTGATGGTGACCAGGTGTGTTTCCAGCCCAGATGCCTGTGTGGTTCTGAGAAGCCTCTCCAACCTGAAATGTCTCGTCTTGTTTTCCTTCCCAGGCTAAGAAGCTGCTCTTTACCTGTCCACTTGTCCTGGGACCTTCATCTCTGCTCCTCCAGGTGCTCAGGTGGGAAGCTCAGCCTGTTCCGGTCCCTTCCTTCCATACTCCGGACTGCCCACAGCCCCCTTGGCTCACCTCTGTCTGGATTCCCAGTGCCTACACCCCAACCCCAGCTCTCCTGGACTCCAAAGGTACACAGTCTGTTTAGCTCATGAAGTCAGAGCTTGAGTTACATCATCAGCTGTGTTTTCCATCCTGTGTGGGACACCGGCATCCTCACTGTGGCCATAGTCACCTCTCATGCACCTCCCTGCTTCCTCCTCTGCTCTGTCGAGTCACCCTGTTTCCTGCCTTCCTTTGGCCCCGTCACTTCCTGAGTGTACTTGCATGCACACCAAGGCCTGTCTTGCCATCAGTTTGTGCCTGTGCCCCTGCCTGTGTCTTGTTGGCCTATTTGTTTCTGTGCCCCAGTGCCCAGAACTGCCCAACACAACAAGCATTTGCTGAAGGAGGGAAGGAGTGGCCTCATGTGCCCCATGGTTTTCATGAAGTCATGTCTTAGCCCTTCCACACACCAGCTCCTCAGCCTGGGACAAGCCCTGTCCCTGTGATAGCTGCAGAGCCATGCTGCTGAGGCTGAGACCGGCAAACCTTTGGCTAGCTCTGTGGGCCTGGCCACATTACTCGGTGCTCAGCTGTAAGTGGGCATTATGTGAAGAATCCCTCCTGGGGTAGCATGTCAGGAGGTGGCCTGGCTGCAGCATTAGTGGTCAGGAGACAGACACCTGTCAACTGTCTCCATTAAGGCTGCTGCTGATTCCTTCCCTGGCTGGCTTGGCTCACACTTAGCACTGTCCCTGAAGTGCTGCTGGACTTCCCCTGGTGACTTTGTGGTCCTGCTAGTGCAAGACAAGTGGCATGACTATGCTTGACTTGCGTGTGGCCTTCTTGGCAAGCCCTAGCCCGCCCGACTCTCAGTGGCCACACTGTACCCGAGCAGGTCTCGCTGGCTGGTTGGACCCACACTCCTGCGAAGCTCTGAGTGCCTCTCGCAGCCCCACTGCAGGTGCTTCTTACAGCCACACATCCTTCCAGCTCATCTGGGTGGAGGTTTTATGTATCTTGAGGCAAGTGGCCATTATTTATGTATTTGTGTTACATGTGCAACTTTACAGCAGTGACATTTTGGCCACCTTCATCCTGTCCTTTCATTCCTTGTTCACTGTTCCTCTTTGGAGCACCCGTCTCCCTTTCTCAGTGTATCAGGGCTGGTTTAAATGGCCTTCCCTGGGGCCGGCATGAGCACATGGCTGTGAGCCACTCCCACCTCTGTGCTTCACCGTGTGCTGCCCTCCTGTTGCTCCTCTCCTCCACACCTGTCTACTCCCAGAAGATGAGGGCTCTCGAGCCAACTTGCTCCTTGCTGCATCTCAGGCCTCCTGTGTTAGTTGGCTTTTGGTCACTGTGACTGAAATACCTGATTAGAACAACTTAGAGGAGGAAACTTTATTTTGGCTCCCAGTTTCAGAGGTTCGCTCCTTAGCTCTGGACTCAAGATGAGGTGGCACATCATGACGGAAGGGCATGGTAGAGAAAAGCAACCCAGGACAGGGCGGCCAAGAGGGGAGAGAGAGAGGGAGAAAGAAGGCAGGTGGGGGGAGGAGGGAGAAGAGAGAAAGACAGGGAGATTATAAACCCAAAGATATATCCCCAGGCTCTACCTGCCTACAGTCACTGCCCAGTTAATCTATCAGTGGATCTTCCTCTGATTAGGCCAAGCATCTCATGATCTAATCATCTCACTTCTGAAAATTCCTGCATTATCTCACACATGAGCTTTTGGGGGACACCTCATATCTAAACCATATAGCCCCCAACACTTGTCTTGCATACAAGGCAAGTGCTGGTATCTTTGGGTGGTGGGCCAGCTGGTTGACAATGCAAGGGCAAATCAGGGACCAGTGCAGGTTGATGATGGCTCAGCAAGTGAAGTGCTATCCAGGAGGGTCTTGGTCATAGCAGGGTGTCAGGGTCAGGGTGTTTTTTCTATATAAAAATACGTGTGCACAGGTGGTGTAGAATAAAGAACATTAGCCAGGTGTAGTGGCACATGCCTGTAATCCTGAGGGCTTTGGGGGCTGAGGCAGGAGGATCACAAGTTCAAAGCCAGCCTCAGCAAAAGTGAGGTGCTAGCAACTCAGTGAGACCTTATTTCTAAATAAAATACAAAATAGGGCTGGGGATATGGCTCAGTGACCAACTGCCCCTGAGTTCAATCAGTCCCTGGTACTAAAATCAAAAACAAAAACAAAAAAACATGTTGTATAACTGTTACTGCTCTTCTAATGCTCTTCTCCTTTTGTTTTCCCAGATATCATTTGCTTCTGTCTCAGGATGATTTGATGTCTTAAATAAAACTCTTTTGTCAACCATGATGGCCACACAGACATTGAGCATAGACAGCTATCAAGATGGGCAGCAAGTGAGAGCTTGAGCTTCATTCTCATTCTGATTGTTGCCAGTCATTCGGTTTCTGTGAGGTTGCACATCCAGTTTTCAATATATTATGCACTTATTATATATTGGTGTTCAGAAAGATAAGCCATAGAATTATTCACATTATATCCTTAAGTGATACGTTTGGAGTCTCCCTCCATCATATGAATTCTTTGGGAATTTACCTTTTTAAGGTCAGTGTTAATTAGTTATGTGACTTTTAAAGAAAAGCTGGGTGCTTGCCTAGCATATGTGAGGCCTCCACCAGCTCCACAAAAATAAAAATAAAAAGAGAGCTGGATGTGCTGGCATGTGCCTATAATCCCAGCCACTCAGGAGGCTGAGGTAGGAGGATTCCAAGTTCCAGGCCAGCTTCAGCAACTTAGCGAGGCTGTGAGTTACTTAGTGAGACTCTGTCTCAAAATATATTAAAATAAAAGGGCTAGAGATATGGCTCAGTGGCAAAGTGCCCCTGGCTTCAATCCCTGGTACCAAAAAATAAAATAATATTAATTTAAGAAAAAAGAAAACCCAGGTGTTTTTTTAAATTTGTTTGTTTATAATTCTGGGGATCAAACCCAGAGTCTTCTGAACGTTAGGCAGCTGCTCTGCCATCAAGCTACAGATCTATTTTGACAGCCAGATTCCTACATTGACAGTCACTAATCTGAGTCTCACTGGATTAACTTCCCTAGTTTCATCTCCCCACTTACAAGTATGGGAGGGCCCTGACTCAGTAACCAGCCCTCCCAGCAGAGCTTCAGAGCAGACCCACGGGCGCTTCGCGACTGTCCTCCCAGTTGGAGGAGTCTTCCCCTTGGAGCTGCAGTATATGTGTGTGTGTACCTGGTGGTGTGTGCTCTGTGACCAGCAAGGGTTGGGGAGGGGAAGGAGGCCAGCTGAGGCATAGGCTGAGAACTTCCCAAGTGCCCTGCATGCTCCACATCCTGCTGGGGTTTGGCGCATTCTCCATGGCGTTCCTGCCCATCAGAGGGGAAATGGAATACACGCCCTGGATGCCCCTGCTCCCCATGAGGCTCCATGCAGCTGGGAGGCTTCTGGCGGTGAGGCGAGTCGTGCCTCCCTTACCCTGGTGGCCAGTTTTGTACCATTCTTATTTGGTTCCTGTTGCAGAGACTTTTTTTTTTTTTTTTTTTTTAAGAGAGAAAAAAGAGGGCTGGGGATGTGGCTCAAGCGGAAGTGCACTTGCCTGGCATGCGTGTGACCCGGGTTCGATCCTCAGCACCACATACCAACAAAGATGTTGTGTCCACCGAGAAATAAATATTAAAAAAATTCTCTCTCTCTCTCTGTCTCTCTCTCTCTCTCTCCTCTCTCACTCTCTCTTTAAAAAAAAAAAGAGAGAGAGAAAAGAGAGAGAATTTTTTAATATTTATTTTTCAGTTTTCGGTGGACACAACATCTTTATTTTATGTGGTGCTGAGGATCAAACCCAGTGCCCTGTGCACGCCAGGCGAGCGCGTTACCGCCTGAGCCACATCCCCAGTCCAAGAGACTTTGTTTTTTGTTGCATGTTTTTGCATCTTGCAGCCATCGAGAGAGGGTCATCCTGGATAGAGTTTCAGCCTGCTTAATCTTGACCTGGAAGTCCTTGATTTTTTTCCCCCCTGAAGTGCAAATCTGACAATATGCTCCCTTCTTAACCCCTCCAGGGACTCCCCATGGATTTTAGGTAAAGTCCAAGCTGCCCCCGACCCACATGGCCTGGTTTCCGTGGACCCTCAGGTCACCCTCAGCCCCTTATCCACACTCACCTCTGCCAGGCCCACCTTGGCACCTCTTGCCGGCTGGGGGGCTGGCCCTGGCTATTCCTGGCAGTCTTCCCTTCTCAATCTTCAGTTTGGGCTCAGATGAGCCTTGCCACCTGCCTCCCATTGTGTGTTCTGTCAGAAGGAGCAGTGATGGTCCCTGGCCTGGCCTGGGCACCCTGCTTCATCCTGCCACCATGTGTGGTGCTCTTTCAGTAGCTGAAAGTATCCCCAGGACCTGAAGGGCCTGTCATGAGCATTATTTTAAATAAACATTTCATTGTTTCTGGTATAGTCATATCATAATTACTTAGCCACTTCTTTAAGGTCAAACTCTTAGATTTCTCTTTTTTCATTCATTAATAAGAAAATACTGAGGGCTGGGGTTGTGGTTTAGTGGTAGAGCACTTGCCCAGCATGTGTTGAGTGCTGGGTTTGATCCTCAGCCCACATAAAAATAAATAAATAAAATAAAGGTATTGTGTTCAACTACAACTAAAAAAAAAGGAAGGAAAAAAAGGGCTGGGGCTGTGGCTCAGTGGAATTGCACTTGCCTGGCATGTGTGAGGTTCTGGGTCTGATTCTCAGCACCAGTGTAAATAATGAAGGTCTATCAACAACTAAAAAAATTAAAAAAAGAAAAAATATTGAAATAAACTTTTTAAGGCTTTTTATACTACTGTGAGGTTGCCCTCCAGAAGGATTGTATTTGATTGTACTTTAGTTGCTTTTTTTTTTTTTTTTTAAGAGAGAAAAATACATTCTCAAGATGTAAACTTATCTCAAAGGCAGCAGAATGGACATCCTAGAGCACCTTTCTGGACTGAGAGAAGAGAGCAAAGGGCCAAAGAGAGTTCCATGGGGTGGGCATGCCTGGCCACCTTGGAGGGGCAGAAGCCTGGCAGACTCCTCAGAATTTCTCAGACCCCTGGTCCTGAAGAAGTTAGGTTGGGTAGTCCAAAGTTTACTGCAGCAGTTTTTTTTGTAACATGGAATTCTTTTGAGGATTTAACTATATTTTACGCAAGTGACAAACACATGGCTTGTCTAAAGCAATCTATGTCTCTAAGCTTTCAGTAAGCATGGCTGGCCTTTACTTTCTAAATGCATGAGATTTTATAAATTTGCATTGTGTGTGTGTGTGTGTGTGTGTGTGTGTGTGTGTGTGTGTGTGTGTACGTGCTCAGGGATCAAGCATGTGCTCTACCACGGAGCTATACCCAGAGCTTGGGTTAAATTTTCATAGCTTATATATTCCTGAGGGATAGGGTGGACATGAGAAAATTTAGTCCTTTCACAAATGTGTAGCATATTGAGTCTGAGTCATTCTTGTGAGAAGATAAGAACTTGTACTATTTGTTTATCCCTCTCATTATTTTATTAAATATGGGGATATATATAGTAAGAAGTTACAGAAGAGTAAGGTTGCATATGTACAATTACTTCAGTTGTACGTGGTCATTATGATTTTTTTAAATCCTAAGCCTTTCACAGATTTAGAAAATCTCAGTTCTTAGGCACTTTGGAAATTTGGCTTTTATGTTATTCACTTTTAAAGCATTTTAAATTTAAAAGGAATTTTCTTGATGGTATTCTTTATGTATAATTTACCAGTCTGAAAGCATTCCTGTTTGACAATAGAATACTTGGTAGCAGTGTGTTTTGTGTTTGATAACAAAATTCTCCTTTTGTAGATGCAAGTGGTAACAGAATTAAAAACGGAGCAAGATCCAAACTGCTCTGAACCCGATGCAGAAGGAGTGAGCCCTCCTCCTGTAGAGTCGCAGACCCCAATGGACGCAGACAAGCAGGCCATTTACAGGTAGCACCTGGGCATGGAGGGGTAGGTTTCCAGAGGACTGTCAGAACACAAACCTGTGAGGTGGAACTCCAGAAGTGGTAGCTGGGCAAAGTGGGGGGCACCATCCTGATGCTATTACTGCATCAGGAGTGAAATCTTTTCAGTTTAAGATGTCATTTCTTAAAAGAGAACATTTTATACTATAAATCATTTTGGGTAATCTTGCAAAAAGAAATCTTCAAGCCCAGATGATTTTTGGTAGTCTGTGTATACCATATGTTGTTTATCTGTCTGTCAGTGGATACCTGGGTTGCACCTGTAGTTTGACTGTTATTTTGGGAGATTTTTGTTCTTTTGTGGTGCTTGGGATGGAACCTAGAGCCTTACATGCCAGGCAAACGCTCTACCATTGAGCACATCCCCATTTGCTAAACATAGGTGTACAAATACCTGTTCAACTCTATGCTGATGTAAATAGAGTCTTTATTCACAATTGTCAGAAACTGTAAACAGCCTAGGAGTTTCTTGGCTGATGAACTGATAGACACACAATGATATATCCATATCATGGAATGTTATTGCAACTGGAAGGAAGGGATATGGGTATTGAACAGCTAAGTCAGTCTAGCTGCAGTGTGCTGAGTGAATGAAGCCTCAGAAGGTCACATACTGTATGATTTCATTTGCTTTTATATGGATATAACACTGGTGATGATGACCAGGTCAGTCATCTGGGGGTAGGGGCTGGGCTGAACAAAATTATGTAACAGCCAGGTGTGGAGGATCACAGGGTTGAGTCCAGCCTCAGCAACTTAGCAAGACCCTGTCTCAAAAAATAAAAAGGTCTAGGGATGGGGATGTACCTCAGTGGTAGAGCATTCCTGAGTTCAATCCTTAGTATTAAAAAAAGAAAGAAAGAAGTAAATAAGAAGTTTGGAGAAAACCTAGAAAGGTATGGGAGTAACCTTCAGTCGAGGATACCTTCTTAAATAAGCACAAACTCAGAAGACAAAGCAAAAAAAGACTAATAAATTTAATCACCACAAATCAAACCCTGTATGTGAACAAAGATGGCATAATAAATAAGAAAAAGACAAACAGCTGAAAGTAAAAATGACAAAGTAGGCAGATTCCTAAAGGGGTCAGCAGATGATGAATGTGAAAACAGTACAACAGTGAGATTTGTCTTTTGGCTCTCGGGTTTACGAATGGAAAGCTGAGTAGCCAGCGGTGACAATAGGTCTGGGGCGCTGATGTTGCCTTGTCACCCCTAGTGAGCAGGTAATTAGGATACTCCTTTTTGGAAATTAGTTGGCCCTTGAATAACTTCTTTTTATGGTTAATTACTGACTTTACTTTTTAAGATTGTAGTTAAAAAAGAAACCAAATACATAACATACAATTCATTTGTTTTTTGTGTGTGGTACTGGGAATTGGACTCATACCAAGCACATACTCTACCACTGAGCTTCGTCCTAAGCCCCTACAGTTTAATTATCATCTTAATTTTTAAGTGTACGGTTTGGTAGTGTGAAGTATATTTGCATTGTTGGAAAACAGATCTTCAGAAATTTTTCATCTTCCAAATCTGAGACTCTACCCATTAAATAACAAATCATCTTTCCCCTGTCTTTGCTTTCAGTCTGGTGATCACCATTCTCCTTTGTTTTTATGAATTTACTTTTGTAAATAACTTACATAATGATGATAATAGTAACTTTCACAGTGTTAGTGCAGTTCCATTCTAGGCAGCTTCCTAACAGGTTACCTTAAGGCTCTCCTACACTGCAGATACTGTTAACTGCAGACAACCTAAATGGTCAACAGGCAAGTGGCCACACTGTTGAGATTTCATATTACAGGTTACCATCTATCATTTAAAGAATAACAAGATTACCATACACTGACATGGATGGTATCTCTTTTAATTCATTTAATTTTAAAATTATTACTATTATTATTACTTTTTTGCAGGACTAGGAATGAAACCCAGGGCCTTGTTCACACTAGACAAGCACTCCACCACTGAGCTACATTCCCAGCCCAGCCCATGGACAGTCTCTTAAGCAACATTGGCTGCATAATTTGTGAAGCTCAGTAAAAAAGAAAACACAGGGCTCCTTGTGTTGGTCATCTTTTTGTCACTGTAATTGTAACACCTGACAGGGACAATTTAGATAGGAAAATTTATTTTGGCTCATAGTTTCAGAGGTTCAGTACATGGTGGGAAAACCTATTATTCTGGACCCAAGTGAGACAGAACCTCATGGTGGAAGGTGTGGCGGAGGAGTCTTTCTATTCATGGTGGCCAGAAAGCAGAGAGAGAGAGAGAGACAGACAGACAGATGGCAAGAGGCCACAGGGAAGAAGTGCCCTTCCAGGGTATGCCTGCAGTGATCCAGCCATGCCCCAACTGCCTGTAGTTACCACCCTGTTAGCCCAGGGAAATCAGAAGGCACTGATCAGGCTACATCTCTCATAATCTCATAGTTCCACCTCGGTAGATTTCTGCATTAACATAGGAGTTTGGGGGGCACCTCATAACCAAACCACAGCATTCCTTGTTCCAAACTAAGAGTTTTAATCTAGCACTAGCAGGGCATTGAACTAATGGGGCCCTGGGCAACTGTCCAAACCATATACCCTTGTAGCTTTTCTGTTTGTGTGACAGATTTCAGAGGTCAAAGCAAGTTTCCAGAACCATGTGAGGGTACAGTGTACTCTGAAGAAGGGTACACACCAAAATATCAACACCTTTGGGGAGAGCAAGGAAGGATCACAGTGTCATGTCTCAGAGGGCTACGGTTGATCAGGTGGTCTGAATTTTTTCCCAAGAGGTATTTACTCAGTTATTATATAATTAAAAATAAATACCAGAGATACACACTTTGCACCCATTAGGATGACTATGATTAAAAAGAAAAACAGAAACTAGAAGGTGTTGATGAGAAGGTAGAGAAATTAGAATCCTCTTACGTTGCTGTCATGTATGCGGTGCAGCCGCTTTGGAAAACTTCGGCAATTCCTCAGAATGTTGAACATAGAATTCCATTTGACCCAGAAATTTCACTCCTGTGCATATACCCAAGAGAAATGACAGTGTATGTTCCCACAAAAATCTGTACATGAATGTTCATGGCAGCATTATCCATAATAGTCAAAAGGAAGAGACAACCAGATGTCCATCAACTGGAAAAACTAAGTGTGGTATTACCTTACAATGGGATACTATTCAGCTGTGAAGGAATGAAGGACCGATACTTGTTACAACATTGGTAAGTCCTTGAAACATGCTAAGTGACAGACACCAGAGACTTCATGAGTCCCTTTATGTGAAATGTCTAGAATAAGCATAGAGATAGAAAGTAGGTTTGTGGTGGGCTGAGGTTTGTAGAAATGGAGCGACTGCTAGTGGGCATCAGATTTCTTTTGGGGATGGTGATGCTCTAAAATTGTGGTGATGGTTGTCCTACTCTAGAATATACTAAACCCCACTGAATGGTACACTTTAAATAGCAACTTCTGTGGCATGTGGATTAGGCTCCCCAGAGTCACTCTCTGAGGCTATGCACCCTGGGAGCCCAAGCATTCTTGTGGAGAGGGAGAACGTCCCTGTATTCTTTGTTCTTTTCTCCCCTAGGCATCCACTGTTTCCATTATTAGCTTTGTTGTTTGAAAAATGTGAGCAGTCCACACAGGGCTCAGAAGGCACCACTTCTGCCAGTTTTGATGTGGACATTGAGAACTTCGTCAGAAAGCAAGAGAAGGAAGGGAAACCCTTCTTTTGTGAAGATCCAGAAACAGACAACTTAGTAAGTAAAGTGACTGCTTTTTTAAAATTTATTTTTAATAATTTAAAATCAGATGGTGAAATTTTAAACTTCTTATTATAGCTTTAAGCTGCTTGTGGTTCCGCTAAAGGGGAGAATGGTGTAACTGTGAAGGAGCTTGTCTTCCAGTGTGTGTAACTTGATGTCCCCGGGTCTTCCCCTCTAGTTACATTTCCTTTAACAAGCCAGTGGAGCAGTCCCTGCCTCTGTCCTAAGTGCCTGGGGGCCAGTTCTCTCCTGAAGGTCCTAAGACTCCCCAGAGCTAGGGTGTTCCCTGACGTGTCTGTGCCCAACTTCTACGCTTGGCATACTCCTAATCGTGGATACAGGACTTGGACTACATTCTTAAGACAACTTTGAGTCTTGAGGCTCATGCCAACTTCCTCCTGTTTCCAGGGCTCCAAAATCCAGGAATTTCCGTACTCTGTAGAGGAAGTGAAGAAGTTCTGTGGCTAATGTCCCTGGTGCACCCACAGCCAGCCATCCCTTACAGGACTTGGGTGGTCCTGGCAGTCTTTGTTAGGCTCTTGCTCCCTTTGCCCTCTCACCTTAGCATGCTACTTGTTTTCATCCCTCCCAGATGCAGTTTGACATGGCTCTGGCATCAGGGTACCATTGCTGGGTCACAGATGCCTTCTAGGACCTGTGTCAAACCTTAGTCAGGCTCTGAGCATAGAAGGGTCTTTGGAAAACTGCTTCTTTCCTGGTACATTGCCCATTCATAGCTTTCCTAAGGTTTCCATTGTGTGTTTCCTCTTTGCCACCTCATAGATTCTGTAAGTGGTCAGGCTTTGACCTTTGACCCTGCCTGCTCAACTCTGAAAGGAGACCCATGCCCTTTTGGGTAAGGGTCGCAGCTCTCTCTGCTCCTGGGACTGGGATGCAGTCATCCCTCTGGCCTGGCTCAGTGAGTGTGGAGTGGGCATCCTCCACACCCCCCTGGCTGCAGGGAACACAGTCTCCCACCCTGTCTTTAGCTCTGGTAGAGCTTGTTGCTTGGTAATTACTGGTATTAGTTGATTGATTCTTTTGTTCCATGAATATGTATGAATTATGTATGTTAGCTTAGCACTGAACTCTGGAGTTGTTGATTCACAGGCAGATAGTACTAATGAAAACAGATTCATTTATTGGCATTAATGATCTATTGTTTTGGGACAGATTACCTCAAAACTTAGTGACTTCATATAAAACTACAAAACTCTTGGAAAAGTCACAAGAGGAAATCTTTGGGATTTAGGGATAGGAAAGCATTCTTAGACTTGACCCCAGAAATATGATCCAGAAAAGATGGAGTTGATGAGTCTAACTTCATCAAAATTAAAAAGTGCTGCTGGGTGTGGTGGCATATGCCTGTAATTCCAGTGACTCAGGAGGCTGAGGCAAGAGGATTGCAAGTTCAAGCCCAGCCTTAGTAACTTAGCAAGACCTTAAGCAACTTTATGAGACCCTGTTTTAAAATTGGAAAATAAGAAAGGAAAAGGGCTGGGGATGTGGCTCAGTGGTAAAAGTGCCCCTGGGTTCAATCCCTAGGACCAAAAAAAGAAAAAGAAAAAAGATTAAATCACCTGTATAGATTTGTCCCTACTTATAGAAATAGAGTGAGGGTAAGAAACTCCTAGGCCACAGAGTGATCTGGTGGCTGGTGAGACAGCCCAGCCATCTTCAGGCAGAGCTGCACTGCCAACACAGCCTCACTAGCTCCGGTCCAGGGCTCCCCGTCCCTATACACCAGGATGGCCAAAGCCCAGGTTAGCAGTGCTGTGGCAGTCACCTCTTTGTATGATTTCTGATGTCATTTCACTTCTCTTGCTGTCACTGAAGAGGTTTCTGATAACTAGGAACCAAATATGTATGATAATGATGACTATACTAGTACCTTTTTCTTATAAAAGTCTTCATTTTCTCTGTTTCTAGATGGTGAAAGCAATCCAGGTCTTGCGTATTCATCTTCTTGAGCTGGAAAAAGTTAACGAACTTTGCAAAGATTTCTGTAGTCGATACATTGCTTGTTTGAAGACGAAAATGAACAGTGAGACTCTGTTGAGTGGAGAGCCTGGAAGTCCATACTCTCCCGTGCAATCCCAGGTACCTGCCTTTGGGGGGTCATTATGCCTTTGGCATCAACCCCAGATCACCAACCCTTTCAGAATTGCTGGGGCTGTCTCGATGGCTGTCTTGCTTGAAGGACCTTCTAGGTCTCTGAAGCTGGCTTATTTTAGGAGTAAATTCAGGCCAGAAAAGAATCTTTCTGGACTTCATGTAGGGAATGGGTGAGTCCTCAGTCTGCATTCTGGCTCCCGCCAACCCCACCCCATGTTTATGGAGAGTAGAGTACCACTCATTCCTTTTTTTTTAATTGGGGAAAAACACATAGTATTTTTTTAGAAGTTATAGATGGACACAATGCCTGTATTTTGCTATATTTTGTTTATTTGTTTTTATGTGGTGCTGAGGATTGAACCCAGTGACTCACGTGTGCTAGGCAAGCTCTCTACCACTGAGCCACAACCCTAGCCCAACACATTCTTTTTTGGGGGGTGGGAATAACTGGAAATTGAACTCAGGGGCACTCGACCACTGAGTCATATCCCTAGCCCTATTTTGAATTAGTGACAGGGTCTCACTGAGTTGCTTAGCACCTTGCATTTGCTGAGGCTGGCTTTGAACTCACAACCCTCCTGTCTCAACTTCCCAAGCCGCTGGGATTATATGCATGTACCACTGCACCTCGCTCAGCCCAATACACTTTTAAAAATTGAATAACATATACATAAATTTTACCATCTTAATCATGTTTTTTAACTGCACCCATTTTAAAATGCACATTGCAGTGGTTTAGTTCATTTCATTGTTGTGCATCCCTCAGCACCATCCACCTCGAGAACTTCCTCATGTTCCCACCTGAGCCCTGTCCTCAGGAAACGTATCCCTCGTTCTCCTTCCTAGCCCTGGCACCCACCAGCCCACACTTTGTCTCCATGACTTAGACTTCTCTGGGGACCTTGTATCAGTAGAATCATGTAGTATTTTTGTCCTTTGTGCCTGGCTCATTCACTGGGTACAGTGCTCGGAAGGTCTGTGTGTGATGAAGCAGTGTTCTATATCAGCATTCTAATGACGTGTAGTGGTAATCCATTGGGGTTTTTATTTCGTGTCCCTGCTGACTAACGGTGTTGATCTGTGTATGTCCACCACCTGTTTATCAGCTTTGGTGAAAATGTCTATTCGTGTCTTTTGCCTGTTTTCTAATTTGATTTTCTTTAAACTGCTGTGTTTTGAGAGTCCGGCCCTATTCTAGATACTAGTCCTTTTTTGGATATAGAGTTTGCAAATATATTTTCCAAATCTGTAGCTAAGTGTCCTCTTAACATCCTCTTAACATGTCTTTTGTAGAGCAAACATTTTTAATTTTGATGAAGTTTAATTTTTCAGTACTTCCTTGTATGGATTGTGCTTTGGGTATCAAGTCTAAGAACTCTGCCTACCTTTAGATCCCAAAGATGTTGTCTTTCTTTCTTTTTTTATTTTTGAATGTTTTGTAGTCTTATATTTTACATTTAAATTCATTATCAGTTTTGAGTTAGCTTGTGCAGAAAGTGGGAGATTTAATTGAGGTTTTTTTTGTCGGTGATGTTTGTCGGCACCAGGACCTTTGCTTGTAAAGCTTTCCTACTTCCACTACATTGCTTTTTGCACCTGTGTCAAACATCAGTTGGGCATGTTGGGGGGCCTGTCTTCTGTGTTTTCTGTTCTGCTCCATTGATCTGTGTGTCAACTACTACATAATTTTGATGGACATATCATATGATAAATCTCCAACTTAAGCAGATAGTTTCCTTCCACTTCAGTGTTTCTTCTCAAGATTGTTTTAGTTGTTCTGGTTCCTTTGCCTTTTCATATAAATTTTAGAATGATTTTGTCTAGGTCCATTTTTAAAAAATCTTACTGGAATTTTGATAGGGATTTCATCAAATCTGTATATTGATTTGGGAAGAATTGACAGCTTTACTATGTTGAGTCCTCAACCCACACATATGGTTATGTCTCTCCATTTATTTTACATCTTCTATGGTTTTTTCCCCACCAGTTTTCAAATACAGGTCCTGAGCATGTGCTTTCAGAGTTAGGCCCAAGTGTAACCATTTTTTGAGTGATTGTGAATAGATTATTTTTTTAGTTTTTGTTTCCATGTGTTCATTGCTGGTCTACAGAAATACAGTTGATTTCTGTATGTTTATTGTATGTGCTGTGACCTTGCTGAACTCATTTGTTAGTTCTAGGAGCTTTGCTTTTGTGGGCTATTTGGATTTTCTACCTGTTGAGCAAGTGGCACACCAGCAGGGACAGTGCTGTTGCCTCCTTTCTGACCCCCTGCCTTTTACTTCCTGTCCTTGTGTCACTGCATTGACTGGACCATCCAGCGCCGTCTTTGCGGGTATGGAGAGCAGACTCCCCAGCCTTTCTCCAGCCTTAAGGAACCTGTCAGTCAGTACCTTGCTCATATTGGTTGAGGTATTTAAAGATGCTCTTACCTGTTGGAGGACACTCCCCTCTGAGAGTTGTTTGGCTTTTTGGGGGGATGGAATTCAGGGGAACTCGACCACTGAGCCACATCCCCAGTCCTATTTTATATTTTATTTAGAGACAGGGTCTCACTGAGTTCCTTAGTGCCTCCCTGTGCTGAGGCTGGCTTTGAACTCACGATCCTCCTGCCTCAGCCTCCCAAGCTGCTGGGATTTCAGGCGTGCACCACTATGCCTGGCTGTTTTTTTTTTTTTTTTTTTTTCCTTTCCCCGGTACTGGGGATTGAATCTAGGAGTGCTTAACCACTGAGCCACTTTCCCAGCCCTTTTTATTTTGAGACAGGGTCTTGCTAAGTTTCTTAAGGCCTCAGTAAGTTGCTGAGGATGTCTCCAACTTGTGATCCTCCTGCCTCAATCTCCTAAGTTGCTGGAATTACAGGAATGTGCCACCTTGCCTGGCATTCTGAGAGAAAATTTTTATTAGGTTGAACTTTGTCAGATGCTTTCTCTGATTCAGTTAGTCTGGTCGTGTGATTTTCCTTATTGGTCTCGTTGGGAGATTACATGGGTTGGTTTTTCTAATATTGAACAAATCTTGCATTCTTGGAATCAATTCCATTTGCTGTGGCACATAATTATATATATTCTTCAATTGTGTTTGCTAGTATTTTGTAAAGCATTTTTGTGTCTATTCATAAGGGATTATGGTGTGAGTTTTGTTTCTGTAGTTTCTTTGGCTTTGGTGTCAGGAAAATACAGGATTCATAACATGGATTGGGGAGTGTTTGTGGCTCTTGTTTTCTGGGAGATTATAGAAGAGGTGTGGATTTTTCTTTAGATATTTGATAGATAGAAGTCCTTATTGAAAATGCACAAACCTCTAGAATTCTTTTCTGGGAGATTTAAATTACAAGTTTAGTTTCCTTAATAGGTGCAGGGCCGCTCAGAAGGTCCCATCCATGCTGGGTGAGCTGTGGTGGCTGAGCTTTGGGCTGCCGGTCTTCCTCCCTTGCACTAGGCTTAGGTGTGAGGCTGTGTTCACTTCTTCTGACCTCTGGCATCTGCAGGATTGTAGCTATCCCATCGTTGGGAATCTGGGTCTCCCCTCCCTTTCCCTCGCCCCCTTCTCTCTTTCTCCCTCTCTCTTTTTGTGTCTTACTAGAGGTTTGTTTGCTCTTTTTAATAAGCAAGCATTTCATTTCTTTGATTTTTTTTTTTTTTTTTTTTTTGGTGGAGGTGGGTGTCACGATGGCAAAAGGTGCGACTTACACAGTTGACTTACACAGGGAGAGATAAAGAATGTCTGTGTGCTTCTGGCTTTGTCAATGCTTTGTTCACTCAAATCAAATAAAATACAATTTCATTTTATAGGTTCTTAATCAAGAAAATGACAATCCTTAACTCTGGGCATGGCAATAGACATAACCAATTCACGGCAAACAATTCTAGATTAATTCCGAGCACTGCAAACACACTTCATCGTGACAGGCTCGTGACAGGCATTCCCTCTGCATGCAAAGCTCAAGTGTCAGATCAGAAGTCTCAGGTCTTAGGCTCTGAGTCCAGCAGATGCACAGTCAGACCACTGTGATCAGGTCAGGCTTCTCCTGGGATGGAGCCAACGGCTGGTTAAGGAGAGGGTTGTGGGGAGAAGTTGTGTTCTCACAGGGTCCATATGTGGCTGTAGAGTGTGAGAGTGGTGAGGAAGATGCCGAGGACCAGGCACATGGGAAGAGCTGGGATGTCAGTCCAGGTCCTCATCAGGCTCTGAGGGTCGTGTGCGTCAGTGTTGGCTGGCTGAGTGTCTGCTCATCTGCTCCATCATTTATACTAAATTTGGGGGCTTTGACCACCTTTCAGTCGCTGTGAGCTGCCACTCGGTTCCCAGTGAGGTCATTTACCCTGGGGTTAAAGCATCTGGTCTGGTGGTCCCCACCCTGATTTTCTTGCCTTTCCCCCTTATGGGGAGAGGTCAACATGCCAGAAACTTCACTCTGAGTTTGTCAGGGTGCGCAGAAGTGACTTGTTTGTGCCTGAGGGCCACAATGGAGGGCTCCACTAGGTGGTGAGACTGCAGGTGAAGGCCTAAGGCCATCCTTACAGTGGGATGGGCCAGGGGTTGAACTCAGGAGCACTCACACTGGGCCACATCCCCAGCCCTATTTTGTGTTTTATTTAGAGATAGGATCTCACTGAGTTGCTTAGTGCCTCATTGTTGCTGAGGCTGGCTTTGAAATCTCAATCCTCCTGCCTCAGCCTCCTGAGCCTCTGGGATTACAGGTGTGTGCTATCTTGCCTGGTGGGAGCTTGGGTTATTGATTTTTTAAAAAAATATTTGTTAGTTGTAGTTGGACACAATACCTTTATTTTATTTATTTTTAAGTGATGCTGAGGATTGAACCCAGGGCCTTACACGTGCTAGACAAGTGCTCTACCGCTGAGCCACAACCCCAGCCCTTGTTTTTGTTTTTAATATTTATTTTTTAGTTTTTTAGGTGGGTATAATATCTTTTTTTTTTTTTTAAATTTTCATGTGGTGCTGAGGATCGAACCCACGGCCTCGCACGTGCTAGGCAAGTACTCTACCACTGAGCAACAACCCCAGCCCTAGGTTATTGATTTGGATGGCTTAACTTCTGTTATGACAAAATTAATGTGTCTGTCTTTTAAGTGTACCTACCAGTTGCTTCCAGTCACCTCTAAGCCATGGTCTATTCTGATGTGTGCGTCCTGTCCAGGAGGCTTTAGTTTGTGGAGAACTCAGTCATCTTAGCAAGATCTAAGGAGAAAGGTGTGTGATTAGATAGCAGGGTTTTCCTGGTCCCCCCTGGGCTTCAGGAATGTAGATAAAGGTGATCTTTTGGAAAGCACATTGCTACCTAACATCTCAGCCTCGGTCTTGGTGGAGCACTCAGCCTTGCCCCTCTTGGTTTCTGTCTGTGAAAGCCTTGGCATCTGACTGTACTCTGGGCCCACCCTCCCTTTCCTTTCCTGAGATGTCATCGTGCTGCTGGCTTTGAGTTTTCACAGGGGTTCCCGTTTTCTAATAATTCCCACAACACGTGTGTTCTGATTTCAGCAGATTCAAAGTGCCATCACAGGCACACTCAGCCCACAGGGGATCGTGGTTCCTGCCTCCGCCCTGCAACAGGGAAATGTGACCATGGCGACGGTGGCAGGTAGGGCCGTGGCAGAGCAGGTGCTTTCTACACGAGCTTGTGCAGAAAACAGTCTATTGTATTAGAATGAGTGTATAATTTTTAAATGTTTAATTTTGTTCTTGATTTCACAGTATTTTAACTAATGTTGGTTCCTGATTTGGTAGTGTTAGAATATAGAGCTTCTTGAATGCCTATTTCTTGTTAATTCTCCACAAATACATTATGCAAAATGTGCTTTGGAAAGGAAAAAGGTTTTATATCAGAGTTGGAAACATAAGGAAAAACCCACTATGATTTCTGGATAAATAGTTTTTAATTGTGCTTGTAGCAGCACCTGGAAAATCCTACATTATAGCATGAATCGATGACAGTCAAGTGAAAATTTAGCCTTGATCTCAGTATTATTTGTATAACAAAAGCATTACAGGAGGGTGCAGATTCCAGCGTTCCCTCGTATGTGTAGAATATTAGAAAAACAAAACATCATGAACATGAAAAGGGCATATGGAAAGAGAGAGCATTGTACTCACAATGGTGTTGTGGAAAACTTCACAACGCAGAGCTAGGATGAAAATGTGTTATCGGCACCTTTGGCCAGGTCCTTAATATGTGCAATTATAAGAGAAAGCAGAAAGTCACGGCCGCCCGGCAGGGGGAAAGGGTGCCTAGCTGTTCATCGGCCAGTACTTCCCGACACTGCAGGACCCAAGGCACCTGAGCGTGGCCTGTCAGTGAACTTGGGTGATCATGTATAGTGACAAGTCAACTTGCAAAGTATTTTTGACTATTTGAAATGATTACAACCTCCTCAAACTAAAGATTTTATTCCATAAGATATATTCCATAAGCATATCAATAAAAATGTTTTAAATCCTTAAGACTTGAAAGTAGTTTAACTTTTAAATTTTCTTCTCCCTTTTGAGGAGGCACAGTGTACCAGCCTGTCACAGTCGTGACTCCACAAGGCCAAGTGGTCACACAGGCCTTGTCACCTGGGACAATTAGGATCCAGAACTCCCAGGTATGTCTGCCCTCCTCTGGAGGGTTTGGGGGTGGGTGCTGCCCTGTGTGCCGCATGGTACAGCAGGCTGCGCTGGCCCTTCTGGGTGAGCATCATCCTCCTGGAGCCCTCTCTAGTTGGTCTGCATGTCAGTGTTTCTTTTCATTCCTCGAGAGTCTAAAGAAGCAAGAAAGTCATTCATGACCCCAGAAGCAGCCCGTGGCCCCGTGCTGAGGCAGGCTTGTGTGCAGGTTTACTTTGCATTATCTATTGGGGGTCGGAGGCCCAGCAGGTGCATAAGAGCTGGGCAAGGTTTTCACCCCTGCAGGGCGTGGCCTACACCCCCAGCAGGGGACCTCCAGTACGAGGCTGCTCCTGTGGTCCCAAGCACAGGAGTTCTTCAGGCCTCTCTGTTGTACATCTTCAGTGTGTCTGATGAGAGGTGGAGGGGCTTCTCGGGTGGCTCTCAACCCCTGCTCTCCCAGGGCTCCTGCCCTTGGGTGTTCAGCTCCCAGAACACTCAAGATGACTGTGCAAGCAGCGGGGTCAGAGCAGAGATGACTCTGCCATAGTGTGACCTTGGGTCATGCTGCCTCTTCCTGTGCCTTTGTGGTAAAGTAAGGAGTTTAGATCTACTAGGCTGAAGTATCCCTTTAAATTCTGGCGATGCATACACATTTTTACTTTGCTCAAGTTAGGTAATCGGAAAGACCAAGTTTAATTTACAGTTCTTATTTTAAGAGCATTGATTCTTTCTTTGTGTTAGATCTTTATCTGTGACCTGCATAGACATTTTCACATCCTTGTTAAGAGCTCTCTGTGTTAGGGATGTTGGTGTTTTACTGAATGCACAAAAGCAAGTCCGAGCAGCCCCGGGCAGCACCCAGCAGCGTAGGCAGTCTGGGGCTGCCTTCTTGAACTTAACTGGTCTTGTTGGACAGAGTGGACTAGAGCCATAGGCCATGAGACAGGGACCATTAGGCTGAGGTGGCTGCCCTGGCCCAGACCTGCCTAGGGGAGGAGCTAGATCCCGCTGGGGCTGCTCCTTGATTCTCTGGCCAGTCCTCTTTCCCTCTGGTTTTCTTTAAGATGTCTGTGACAATAAAACTGTGTCTGTTTGCAGAATAGTTTCCTAGGATCACATTATTATTTTTTTATTTGTAGATGGACACATTACCTTTATTTTATGTGTTTTTATGTGGTGCTGAGGATCAAACCCAGTGCCTCACACATGCTAAGCGAGCGCACTACCGTTGAGCCCCAGCCCCCAGGATCATATTATTTTTTAGAGGAAAACCTTTTCAGGTCCAGGCCTTGTCTTGTTATTTAAGAAGTATGTTTTCTATTTAACTGAGTTTTTTCAGCAACAATTTAAATAGCAAACTGCACAGTGTGCAGTGCTTCAGTAGAACTCTCTGATCTTTCAGCTGGACTTTGGGGACTGTGACTCCCTTTTAGTCCCAGTTGCAGAGCCCCTCTGTCCATGACATTGCTTGTCCTGTACTTCTGCTTACACCCCCTTGTTAGTTTCCACCACTGTGACCAAATACCCAGTGAGACCAACTTGAAGGAGGGAAGGTTTATTTTGGTCCGTGGTTTCAGAGATTTTGGTCCATTGTTGGGCCCCTCACTGAGGGTTTGTGGTGAGGCAGAACATCATGGCAGGGAGGGCGTTGAAGAGCCCAGCTGCTTATCTCCTGGCACAGGAAGGGCTGAGGACATAGCATAGTCACAAAAGGCATGCCCCCAGGACCCACCTCCTTCAGCTGGGCCCCGCCGTCTGCCAGGAGTCCATCAAGCCCCCATGATCCAGGCGCTTCCCCAGAGCCCCACCTCTCAACATGGCTGCACTGGGGACTGGTCTTCAACACCTTTGGAGTCTTGGGGTTGGGGGACATTCCAGGTCAGAACTGTAACATTCTATAACATTCTAACCCTGACCCCAAGACTCATTCCTCTCATAATGCAGAATACATTTGATCCATCTCCAAGAGTCAATATCCCCCAAGTCTCCAGAACAGTTCCAACATTTCTCAAAAAGTCCAAGTTTCAAATCTCCTCTAAGGCTTACAGCAACCTCTTAGCTGTGAACCCCTGTAAAAATCAAAAAGCCAGCTACATGCATCCAGTATACAATGTCACAGTGTAAACATCCTTATTCTGAAAAGTAGGAATAGAATACCTAGGAAACATCAGACCAAGGTAAGAGTGAAACCCAGCAGAACAAACATTAAATCCTCTAGTTCCATCCAGTAGCCAGAGCATGTGTTGGTGTAATGTTCTCTCCAAAGGGCTTAGGGAGGCCTGCCCTGTGGCCTTCCCAGGGCAGTTCACATGCTCTCTCTCTTGAATTGGGTCTGCTCACTGCCTGCCGCTTTGCTTGACAGATGCTGCATGCTCTTGGCATTTTTTATCTTCTGGGGTCTCCATTGAAGCTCTGACTTTACTCTCATGGCTTTATGCACCATTCTCTCAGGAGCTTATGATAGGGATTCTTACCCTGCCACACATCACTTGTCCCCCAGACATCCCTTTAAAGTCTCAATGGAAGTCTCTGTGATCCCACAACTTGTATTTTATATGCCTGCAAATCCAGCACCACACGGGCAGTGCCAAAGACTGCTGCCAGTGAGAGCAGTAGCCAGTCCCACTGGCCCGTAGGTGCAGTGGCCTCTGAGTGCCAGGATGGCTGACCAGGGGAGACAACTTCCTCTGTGGCGCTCTGAGAGCCGGATGCGTTGGCTGTCTCCTCTCAGAGGAAGGTCCTTCTGGTCACTTTATACTTTCATGTCCTTTAGCCTGCAGAGGTTGGGGCCTGGCCAATTCTGAAAGGCCTTCAAGGCCTCTTTCTTACAGGCTCTGTGCACAGTACTTGATTTTTCTTTATGGTACTAATGTTTTTAATGGCAACTACATCTTCCTTGGCTCCAATTTTTCATGGATTTTTTGGCTAAACTGTAAGTTTTCCACCTATTTCCACTCTGCTTCTTGTTCCTGATTCTTACTACAAACCTGGCTAAAAGCTGCCACCAATACATTTGCCACATCCTGGATGCTGTGCAGATGACCTTGTGAGCCTCTTTCCACATTGCTGTCCACTGTCGTACAGGGCTCCCTGCCTGGGGCAGCCTGTCCAGGCTTAGGTGGTCTAACATCCTCTGCTCATGTGAGGAGCTGGTGATGTGCGGTGCTGGTCCCCAAGCGGGAGGACATGCTGGCCTGTTCACACAGGGCCTAGTAGGCAGGCTGCAGTTGGGTCTGTCCTTGGGTGGTGTGTTCACTGAAATCCTTCCATTGTGCTGCTCACAAGGACCCACCTGAAGACATGCTTGATAAAGGGAGGAGTGGTCGGGGACGAGGTTGTTGTCCGCCCTCCCTTTCTACCGCAGGGTTGTCTGCACAGCTCCACTCATCTGCAGGGCTGCCCCTTGCCCTCTCTTACTTTCAGTGTTTCTGTGGGTCGCAGCTCAGGCCACCCTGCCCCGCAGGTCACCTGCAAACCCTTTGTAGTTTCTCCTGCTGTTTTCTTCTGTTTCTAAGTAAAATCCTATCACGTGATATCCTTTCGAATGCCTGGCTTTGCCTTTCGTCCGGGAAGTGGCCTCATTCTCGTGCCCTCTTCCTCGCCTGTCCTCGTGGTCTTTGGCACTGTCCATGTGGTGCTGGATCTGCAGGCACATAAAATACACGGTTGCCCAAGTCCATGTCAGGGTCAGTGTTGTCAGGACTGGTCCTGCAGAGGTAAGCTGGTGGCCGTGGTCCAGTACTGCCATGGTCACAGGCTGTTCTGGTTTGTCCCCTGAGTGTCTGGATCGGTGCTGCTAAGACCTCCCTGGAGCTCTGTGGCTGAGGGGCTGTCTCCCAGGCCTGGGCCTCTTCTGCCGTGTGGCCATTGTGGCTCCCCCTCTGCTCAGCCCGCACATTCCTCTCAAGTGGTGCTTTGTGGCATCCCTGTCCATTCTTATTGGTGGCCCGGAATTTCTCCTGGGCCGGGCAGTGGGGTGTTGTCGCTGTTCCCCTGCAGGAGGCACAGGTGGGAGCAGGGCTTGGGTGTGGTAGCCCTGGGCTTCTCCTGCCTGAGGAGCACTGGCTCAGGCTCGAAGGCCCCCTTAGCCTCTATCCCTCTGCCTTCTCAGGCCAGGGGCCCCTGCCGAGCCGAGTCCCCACGTGGAGTGAGGATGTGGAGAACCACGTCCTGGAGACAGAGAAACCAGCTGCTTTCGCTCAGCACTCACACCATAGCAGTCGACACAGGAGGTTCTGGGAGCTCGCAGCAGGGGTCCTCCCCCACCAGCAGGCAGTTGATGCCAGCTGGGCATCCTCCTGTTCAGTGTAGCTCGGACTCAGTCTACCTAGATAGTGGCGTCAGATCCCACAGGTCCCCAAGGTGGCCAGTCACAGGCCCCAGGCTGTGACCTAGGCTTCTGACCAAACAGCTGTAGATTGGGGTGCCCATGACCCCTCCTCAGATTGAATTATGTTGAGTGGCTCCCAGAACTCAGGGGAAAACCTGGGGCTTATCAGATTATTAAAAAGGCCCTGAGGAGATGCCACAGATGAAGGCTTCCTGGTGCAGGCTAAGGGAGGAAGGAGCCCCCATGCCCTCTTGGGGCACAGCACCTCCCAGGAGCCTCCACACACTCAGCAACCTGGAAGGACGCTGAGCCCTGTCTTTGGGGTTTCACGCAGGCCTCGTTACACAGCCATAGTTGTTGAATCATTGGCCACTGTCCATCAGCTTAACCTTCTGCCCAGCCCCTCCCCAGTGGTTGAGGCTGAACGTCCCTGGGATCCTGCCTTGTCTTCCCCATGCCCTCCCCCATCCTGAAGTCCCCGGGGGCTGCCAGCCAGCAGTCAGCTCACAAGTACACAGAAAGTCTTCACTCAGCCCTTGGGAGATGCCAGGGAGGGAGATTGCTGCACAACACCACACAGTCCCAGCGTGAATCCTGTTAGTGCGCCCCATCACACAACCTGGAAGACCTCAGCTGTCGCTCCAGCTGAAGTCGTAGCGTAGCCTGCTTGCGTGTGTCATTGCTTGGTGTCTCTAACATCAGCTTTCAATTGTGCAAAAGCTTCAGTTACAGTTGAACCAAGACCTCAGCATCCTGCACCAAGATGATAGCTCATCCAAGAGCAAGAGAGGTGTCCTGCCAAAGCACGCCACCAGCGTGATGCGGTCCTGGCTCTTTCAGCACATAGGGGTAAGATCAGTGGGCTGGCGCTGTGGGCAGCTCTCTGAAATCCTTCCTCCTGGCTGTGTGTCGTGGAAAAATTCATGTATGTGTCTCGAAGGCCTGATCCTAAGTATCAGTGTTTTGTTGAGTGTCATAATGGGTTGAGCATAGGACAGGGGGTTCCCAAACAAATGGCTCCAAGAAACTTACAATACAGTAAGGATCTCATTGGTGGACAGGAAATGGAGTACACCTGGGCTGGTTATGTATGTGATGTAGAACTCAACCCACGAGAGGGACGGAGGTGAATGGGTGGAGAAGTGGGGTGAGAAGAGATGCCAGTAGGCCAAACCTCTGGAAGGGGCAGTGCTTTTATGTTGGATTTGGAAGGAAGGCAGACAAGGTTGAGGAGAAGAGTCTACTGACAAGGCAGCAGCACAGGGGCTGGTGTACCTGGATGTGAGCACAGCTTGTCCAGTGTTACGGGTGCACTCATTGCCTCTGAGTCCCCAGGACATCTCGGGAATCACGGTGACACACCTGTCCAGCTGGCAACACAATGGGTTGTGGCAGTCACCCACCCAGGGAGCAGCCACAGTGACTCCCTGGTCGAGTGCCAGGGGCAGGAGTGAGCAGGCTCGGCTCTCTGAGGAGAGTGCATGAGGGCCCCTGTCCTGTGAGGGTGCATATGGCCAGCACACACAGGGAGGAGGGCCAGAGGCGCTGGACACATGGGGAACCTCAGCAAGTGAGGAAGCGTGCCCTGGGGTCCCCACAGCCAGGGTGTGGGCTTGCGACAGCAGCCACAGCTCGGCAGAGGTGGGGGTTGGCACCTGCTTTCTCAGCACTTGCCCTGCTCCTGGGAGCCATCAGGGTGATGTTTGGCTTGCACTGCCTCTCTGTCCCTTGCCCCTGTTTGTGGGACGCCTCCTCCCGTGAGCAGCAGTGGTGCTCTTTGTGTATGGCCGTGTGCTCATGTTTTCTGCCTCATTCCTGCGTCATGAGCTTTTTAAAAAACAAAAAGAATGTTTGTCTCCACAACCTGGAACTCAGAGCCTTGAACTCATCTGTTGAATCAGCTTGAATTATCCTACTTGAATTATCCTATCAGTTTCCAGAAATAAGCTGGCTGCCGAGTGAGTCTGATGTGGATTCATTCCTACCTCGGTGTGCAGGGACTTTTGCAGATTTCATCAAGTGTTTAAAGTCAAACCACAACAAATACCCGTCTCCTATGTGGGTGCCATTCACGCCTGGGGACCCAGTGGTCCAAAATAAGGGATCTTGCGTGCAGTTTTAGAAGAAAGTCTTCTTGGTCTCCATGCACAGACACCTACTGGCGAGAAGTACCAAAGGAGAGATTTTTCTCCTTTGGTACTTCTGGGAGTTGTGATATTTGCTCGGGTTTAACTCTGTTTTGTTTTGTCTAGTAAGTGGAGTGTTTCTATCATACCTAAGAGAGGGATGCTGCCTGCAGTGGACCCTCTCAGCCACAGCCCCAGATTTGGTTCTTCGTGGACAGCATAGGTGTGTTAGTCAGCTTTCCCTCACTATAAAAGTATACCTGAGATAATCACCGTACAAAGAAGAAAAGGTTTATTCTGGCTCATAGGTGCAGAGGTTCTGAGGCATGACTGAGCAGACCAACAGCTCTGGGCCTCTGGCAGGAGTGTTGGGTAGTAGACAAAGAATGACTGGCGTAGCAAGTGCTCACCTCAGGGCCAGGAAGCAAAGAGCAAGTGCAGGGGGCCGAGGCCCCACAAGCCCCATAACCTTGAGGTTCTCTCCCAGAGGTCCAAAGACCTGCCAGGAGGCCCCATGTCCTGAAGGTTGCACCAGTTCCCAGTAGCACCAGCCTGTCACACACGGCCTTTGTCAACATACAGACTGTGGTGCCAGGTCAGTCCAGCAGGACTGGATCCTGAGAGAGCCTTAGATGACAGCACATCCCCAGTTCATTCTCCTGTTACCTGCCATGTGATAGGCCCTGGAGCAGCCTGCTTCCACCCATCCACAGCTGAGGTGTGACAGTGTTTGTCTCAGAGGGTGCCGTGGGGCCTCCAGGAGTGGCAGGGGACGTGCAGGGACATAGAAGTGTGTGTGTGTGTGTGTGTGTGTGCTGTGGCAGGGGTCTCATGGGCCCTACTGCCCACTCACCTCTTGTAGTGGATGTGGCTTATTGTTCATAAACAGAGCCACAGTGGGCTCCCTGCGGGTCTGTGGTGGTGTCGTGTGCTCACCTGGGTGGCACAGCACACCTCACAGCAGGGCTGCTGCTCCTGCTGCCTCGTCCTCCCCTGAGCACCTGAGGGCATGTGGCTGGCCATATCTCCAGGCACTGACCAGCATCTGCAGCCCTGGATGTTCTTGGGCAGCAAGGAGAAATGATTCATTCTGTCCTGGGTTATTTCCAAAAAAGTCATTTCTAAGTTAGGTTTTGGTTAAAAGCATTGTCAACACCATTTTTTTTTTTAAGAGAGAGAATTTTTTTTAATATTTATTTTTTTTAGTTTTCGGTGGGCACCAACATCTTTATTTTTATGTGGTGCTGAGGATCGAACCCAGCGCCCCGCACATGCCAGGCGAGCACATTACCACTTGAGCCACATCCCCAGCCCGACCATTTTTTTTAATACTTACTTGCATGCTTGTATTTTGCCTAGATAATCTTGGTTTCCTTTTCAAAAATCAAAGTCCATGGCAATCCTCTTTATTTTTAGCATCCTTACCCAACAGAAGATGAGAAGAAGCAGATTGCCGCTCAGACAAACTTGACACTACTCCAAGTCAACAACTGGTAAGACGCACCACTTTCTGAAATTGCCTTTACCACCAGAGGGCCTTGGGAGGGCCGGCACTGGTCAATGGAAACTCTGCTGAACAAATGTGCGTGCTCTTAGCAGGCAGCAGTCTGCCAGCAGTGCTGCAATCAGTGGCTGGTACCTGGGAATAAGCCAGCCCAGATTTCAACCCTGCTTGTGATTGTCACTTCTCACTGTGAGTACATCCCACTCTCCTCATTAGAGGGTTTCTCTGTGGTGTTGCTGCCCAGCCCTACGTTCCTTCAAAACTGGGATGTTTTAGTGGATGACTTCAATGGCAAGAGTGGTGACAGTGAGGTGTGCTAACCCTGGGGGACCCTCTGTTCTCCTTTTGGAAAGTACTGTCACTTTCCACCTGCAGCTTAAGGACACAGTCCCTCTGCTGTCTGTTTCTGCAGCTGTTCTACTGCACAGCAGAGCCTAGAGCTGTCCCCAGAGTCACACCCAGTGCAGGGTGGGATCTGTGTTTATGAAAGAAACGTCCCTTCTGATCCTGGGGTCACAGTTGTGGTAGGCAGTGGGGTCCTGGCCACATTTCCCTCCACAAGAGCTGCCACTCGTACCTCCAGGGCTCGCACAGGAGTGTGGCGCCACTCAGGGTCTAGTCAGTGTCTCGTTTTTATTGTTCAGCTGTAGGAAGCGAGGTCAGCTTCCTACGTTTAATCCTACTGTAGCACAAGTGCTACTTTTTAAAAAGTAGCAAACACTACTATTTACTATTTACTTTATGCTGAAATGTAGACTTGTCTAAATTCCAATATAAACAATTAAATTTTCCTGTTTATACAATCATAGATGTAGAGGAATGCGTTGGTGTTGTGTTAAATATTTCTGTTTTCTTGCGTTTGTGCTGTTGTTTTTGATTTGAATAGTAATGTAGAACATACCACTTGAGTCATTTCCTATGAAGTCTCTTAAACAGAGTGCTAACAAAACTGTGTAAAGGTTTCAAGTGTGTTGTTGCTAAGACGCCTGTCACTCACCAAGCCTGTCTTAGTTGTGTCCACGCAGGCGTGCTGGAGTGTCCTGTTGAGTCTGATGGCGGGTGATGGTGGGCGAACGATGCCAGAGGCACTGAGCCTGCCCTGGGGTGTTCCCTGCTGTGTGCTCCCTGCTTTCACCCATTTGTGACTTTCTCATGTCCCCCAACATGCTACTGTTGAGTTCCAGGACTGTCCTATTTAGAAGGCCTTATATTAGCTTTTAGTTTTTAAAATTAGTAACATGACTTTTTTAAATTCTAAAATTTCTAAAATCCTTTAATATTTGTAGCTATTTTTAGTTTCTGGGGCTTTCCTTTCCTTTTATTTACAAAACTTACATTTTGAATGGATGGAACGTGGCCATTATTATTGTGGGCCTCTGCTAGTATCAGTATAAATAGGGAGACAGAAAGGAGGGCTGCGAAGCAACTGGGGGCCTTTCCGCTGAGGCAGGGTTCTAGGACCAAGTGGCACCCTTAGCCAGGTGCCACCCTCAAGTGCTGGCGATGCAGGGACCAGCCATTTCCCCGAGTGCAGTCCAATCCTGGTGAGCGCATGTCCTCAGATGGTTTTGAGTGGTCCTCATCTTAAAGCCTCAAGTGGAGCAGCCTTGGAGCTGCTCTCCTGGCCCTGGTGTTTTACAGATGAGGGCGTCTAAAGAGGGAAGCTGGGTCGAAAGCAGTGCTTTAGTTTCTGTGACACCTGCGAGTGGCTGCCCCTCGTCCACCAGGTCTAGCTCATAGAGGTGGCATGTGTGGATCTAGCAAGGGGTTAACTGCCTGTCCCTCATCCCACTGAAACGGAAGCTCATTTACTCTAGCGTTTCTACATTAGAGACCCCGTGAACCTGAAGTGCTGGGGAGTGACATTGGCCACATTGTAATTGTGTGCGTGTATGAATGCGTAACGACAAATCCCATCATTACGTTCAGTTATAATGCACCAATAAAAAAAGTGGGGAAAAAGGAAATAGTGTGCGAACCTGAATAGGTTCCGTTTCATTGGGCGTCAGTGGTTTTCTTTCCATTGCAGCTGGCTCTGTAGCCAAGCAGCCCTGTGAGCACTGGGAGCAGCACCAGGAGGGGGTTCAGGAAGGGGGTCATCTGTCCTCCTGCGCCAGCAGCCCAGGAGGAGGAGTGGTTTGGGGCGAGCTCCTTCTTGCCCTCCCCTTCTCAGATTTAAAGACATAGCTTGGTGCATTTGAGGATGCAGTGGGAAGCAGCAGTCCTTTCTCAGTTGTACTTGGCTTGAGGCCAGGTCCACTGCCTTGCCACCTTGTAGTTTTTGCTGAAGTCTCAGTGGGAGTCCAGCTCGGCTGTGAGGTCTGAGTCTTACAGAGCAGCCAGAGTCCATCAGGGATCGCCCCCCTACCCTGCATAGGTATCCTGTCAGCTGGGGTTCAGGGCAGTTGATGAAGAGGGGCTCGTCTTTTAGAGTCATTTAGAACGGGTCTTTTCGAGAAGATGAAGGTCTGACCTCAGTCTTCTGTTTTATGGACCAGGACACTTCCCTGGAGGCTTGACTGACGGCTGCCAGAGGCACCATGCTGGGAAGGGCAGGCAGATCAGGCTGCCTGGTAGCCTCCGGTGTAAGGAGATGTCAGGTCCCTACTGCAGCAGTCTTCCTCCTTAGAGAAAATAATGTCAATTATATCAGATTCACAGACACTAAGCAAAAAAACAAAAAAGTGGCCTTCTTATTTAAATGGTCCTCAAATAGTAATTTTTAAACCAGCAGGGTTTTTTTTTTCTGGAGATTTAAATAATTAATATGCTTGTCATTCCTCTGACATGTTTATTCTAGCGGGAGATTAGGAGTCAGTCTTTTTGGCATGGTTCATAAAGCTGTGTTTGTTGTCAGGTGCAGAGGCCACACCTGTAATCCCAGTGACTTGGGAGGCTGAGGCAAGAGGATCACAGATTCAAGGCCAGTCTGTGCAACATAGTGAGGCCCTAAGCAACTTAGATTCTGCCTCAAAATAAAAATATAAAAAGGGCTGGGGATGTAGCTGAGTGGTAAAGCAACCCGGTTCAATCCCAGTACTCCCCACTCCCCAAAAGTACTTGTTGGTTCTGCACAGGTCTTTACAAAGGTCACTTTGGCCTGAGTTTCATTTTGTCTACACACAGGTTCATCAATGCCAGAAGACGAATTCTCCAGCCAATGTTGGATTCCAGTTGTTCAGAGACCCCCAAAACAAAGAAAAAAACTGCTCAGAACAGGCCAGTCCAAAGGTTCTGGCCCGACTCCATCGCATCGGGAGTGGCACAGCCAGCGCCGAGCGAGCTCAGCATGTCAGAAGGTGGGCAGCGCCACGAGTAGAGTGAGAGTGCAGAGGGAGAGGCTCCCGCAGGGCACTTTGGGACATTCAACTTACACATTTGAAACCGTTGTGTCTCAAAGACACAGTCGTCTGCAAGGTGTCCTGTCCTGTGCATCCATCTTTGCTTTCTTCTCAGCTTCAGTGCAGATGGTGGAGTTGACCTTGTTCTCCTCACCAGCCGTCTTACCTTTTAGGCCACGTGCCCACCTCTTGCTTCCGTTTATTCCCTTGGACCTCCATCCTCCTCTCCCTGTCACGGGCCACCATGCTCATGCGTCAGAATATCTTTCTGGTTACATGAGCTCTTCAAGTTCGGGGTGCATTTATTATTATGATCATCATCATCACTGTTTCTTTTTCAGTGTTGGGGATTGAACCCTGGGTGCTCTACCCCTGAGCCACATCTTCAGCATCCCCGCTTCTTTTTTTTTTTTTTTTTCCTTTTGAGTCAAAGACCCACTAATTTGGTGAGGGTCTTCTTTAGTTGCTCACTTTGAACCTGAGATCCTCCTGCCTCAGCCTCTCAGATTGCTGGGACTACAGGTGTGCACTACCACCCTCAGCTCCATTTTTTTCTTGAAGTATAAGAACATCAATTGCCCATGTATTAGGTAGTTTAAATTGATACTCTCTTCAATTTTGTACAGTTTTTACTGCTCTCCTTTTACTTCACTAATCTTTCTTCTCCAGTGCTTCATCTGACCTGAATCCCATACAGTTGGGTTATTAAGATGATGATGATGATGATGGTGATGATCTTAGACACTGTACTTTTTTATCTTTCCACAAGTTCTGCTTGAGCTTTGTGTGGTTTATGTGCCTACTCACTTTTGAACACAGCACGCAGTTGTGGTGCGTGTCAGTGCCTGGTCTACTCCACGTCTGTCAGTTCTGGGTAGGTTTTCTGCCTGTCTGCCTCCTGCTCATCTCTCTGGGTCAGACATCATGCCTTGGTGTTTATCCCTGTGAGTCTTCCTGAGCGTTGTTCTGGACTCCAGCTAGACTACTTGGGGACAGTTTGATCCTTCTGGGTCTGGCGTTCACGATTTCTATGGTGTCCATAGGAGTTCTCGGTGTAGGGCTGAGCTTCCTGAGTCTCCACCCAGGGCCTGTGGGTGGTTTTCCAGGCCGGGCTCTGTGAGCCCGGAGACTCTTTTCCAGTAATCCCTCAGGTGATTCTTCTGACGAGTTCCCTGCTGAGTGCTCAAGAGGGGTTTCGGTGGTGATGTGCTAGTCCTGAGGTTGGGATTCACTAACATGTAAAGCTAAGTTCTCCCAGATAAAGCTTTGGCGTCCTCATTTAGGTTTTCATGTATAGGAGTCTTATGTGCACACTTGAAGAATTTTCTGTTTGCAGGTTGTTGTTTTTTCTGCCTTCAGCCTAGTAATTAGTTTGAAAGGTATTCTTGGACTAGTTAGCTTTCCATCACCATAATGAAATACCGAAGGCAGTTAACTTACAAAGACAAAAAGTTGACCTGGGTTCATGGTTCTACATCAGGTGGCCCTGTTAGTATAGCCTCTGGCAGTGGTGGCACATCATAGCAAGAGCGTGTAATAGAGCCAACCACTGACAGCATGACCCAGGAATTGGAGAGAAAGGAAGAAGAAGAAGAGACCCGGGTCCCACAGTCCTTTTAAGGCATGCCCCCATGACGTCAGGACCTCCCACAAGGCCCCACCTGTCAAATGTTCTGCCACCTTCCAGTAGTGTCCCTGGGGACCATTGAGCACATGAGCCTTTGGGGTGACTCAGCCACACCTCAGCGACTATTATTTTTCTCCCCCTCCCCCCCTCAGAAAAGGCAGCATCTGTCTACTGGGAAAGGCATTTAAATCAAGAATATCCAGTGAGGAGAAACCTCTTCCACCCTGGTGTCTGGTCTCCAGGCTGGCCACGCCCTTCCCGTGCCCTCCAGTGCCTAGACAGGCAGGAACAGACGCATCCTACAGCGTCGCCCAGACATGGCGTAGCCCATCTTGTCTTCCTTGTGTCGTTACCAGTACATCCTGGGTGCTCGCAGATCACTGAGTCGTGACTACTCGCAGCCCTGTGCCACGGCTTTGGGGGCCAGGCGCCCCGGTTCCCTCCGCTGTGTTGGCTGATTGGCGAGGATGCGCTTGTCCCAAGGTCCCTCCTCCCTTCCCGGTCACCCTCTGGCTGCTCTGCTCTTCCCACTTGCCTCCTGTCTGTCGTCTCCTCGTGTACCTTTCTCCTCGTTTCTGGCTCCTGTTGCTCTCCTTCAATACATTTTTTGCTGTGGAAATCTACTCCCAATTGTCCTGAGCCCCACCGAGACCGTCTTCAGATCAACATCTTACTAGCAGCTGGGCATTAGTACATTACTTGTAGGTTCACTGTGTCATGGGTACCCACAGCTCAGGTCCCACTGCTAAGTGTGTGTCCTTTGGGTCCTATTCCTGCATATTTGGGACTTGGGAGGCTAAGGCAGGAAGACCACCAGTTTGAGGCCAGCCTCAGCAACTTAGCGAGGCCCTAAGCAATTCAGCAAGACTTTGTCTCAAAATAAAAAAATAAAAATAAAAAGGGCTGGGGATGTGGCTCAGTGGTTAGGCATCCCCAGGTTGAATCCCTAGTACCAAAAAAAAAAAAAAAAAAAGAGTTTTCCTCCCCAGGTTTCTAAATTCCTGTGGAACTTTTCCTAAATATACGTAGGTGTCTTGACTTTAGGTCATAAAGCTAGCAGCGCCCAACTAATTCATAAAGTGCTTCTCCCCGAGTGTGGGCTGGAACAGTGACACACTGTGCTCTGCCCCAGGTGCCGTTGTGACCATCACCACCCCTGTGAACATGAACGTGGACAGCCTCCAGTCCCTGTCCTCAGATGGGGCCACCCTGGCCGTGCAACAGGTCATGATGGCCGGGCAGAGTGAGGACGAGTCTGGGGACAGCACAGAGGACGACGGGGGTGCCCTGGCGCCCACCCACATCGGCGGGCTGGTGCTGGAGAACAGCGACTCCCTGCAGTAGGAGCAGGCGCACCAGCTCGGGAGCCGGCACACCTGACTTTTTATAGTTTGCACAGCAAACATTTTACACAGTTTTATTTCTAATATGTTTTATATGTAGATATAGAAGAGTGCACTTTTGTATTTCATAGTAAGCTTAAAGAGCGTCTTTGCCAGTGCAGCGACTTCTTTCAGATGTGTGTGTGGGTTTTTAAAGAAATTCTTTAAAGGTTTAACGCTAGAAATGTGATGAATGACCCCCTGCCCCAAGTTTCTGATTAGATTAAGGAGTAGTGCTGCCATTTTCTAAAAGAATTCTTCAGTTGTAATTCCGTTCTGTGGTCACTAGCAGGTCTTGGGGCTGCTCCCTTTGTGCAGCCCACGGACCTGAGAGAAGCTCTGCCTGAGACTGCCTTGTGCGGAGCAAGGACACTCAGCCGACTACGTGTGGTTTCAGAGTGAGTGGACGGCAATTTCAGCAAGTTTAAGTTCTCTCATGGTCAGCGAGCCTGTTTCATTTGCTATATATAAAAAGAAACTCCTATTTTTACCTTGCTGGAATTATTGGATAAAAAGCTATTTTTATAAATTCGTTATGAATTGGATTATGACTATATTGAGGATAAAATTTCTAGAGAAGGAACAATATGTGATTATATTTCGATTTCGAATGTTCTGAATTGCCCAAATTGAATGACCTGCCCACAGCTAGCTACCGTTGCACTGTCTCCTGCTCCCCAGGGGGTTTACGTTTACTGCTGAAAAGAAACAGCTCTAGTGGGATTTTGATATCTCCAGATTTGTGCTGATATGTCATGCTCAGATTGCGTCTTACACTTGACCTACACAAGTGTCTAAAGGTGTGTGCTAAGTAGGACTTCAGGTAAGTGAGGTGGAGTGTAGCCCTGATCAGTTGAAAGCTCTCACCCACGTACTCCAGTCTGATTTGAATCTGACTTCAGTTACATGGTTCCTTTACTATGTTAACTGTATTGTTTTAGAACTTTTTTAGTCAAAATATGTTATGCATAGAACGTGTAATGTAAACTAGTGTAAAAAGTGCTCGACCCCACGGCTCAGAGCTGGGGTGCTTAGGAAACATCCAGGCCGCCTTATGCAATTGGCAACATCCGCAAAGCCACGCAGTGACCTGAATTGTGACAGGTCGGGACAGCACACCCCGTGGCTCACCTGTGGGCCTTGGTCCCTGTTGTTGGCATCCTGTCTTTGTGTGTTGCTTCAGAGTTCCCAGAGCCCTCCCACCTCACCTGATCACATGGGTGTGGGATGATTCGGGGACTTCCATTTCCTGGTGATGATAAATTAAGAGTTGGTGGCTTTTGTTCTTTGGCATGATTTGGTTTGACTTAGAAATGGAGACTTTTCCTCAGAGAGAACCAGCCACCTGCTTCATGTAGTGTCTTCTTGTCATCCTAGATGGGTGCCCAGAGCGCATCTGCTGACCAGGGCAGCTGCGGCTGGCACCGCCTCCAGTTCTTGAGATCCAGCAATGTGATTGGTTAAGGACCAAGACTACACTGAGGACACTTTTAGCTAATGCAGATTTTTCTAGAACTGACCACCCCGACTCCGCCACCCAGTTGTGTTAGAGTCAGCCATGGGGGAGTATGTCCTGGACAACCTATGTCAGCAAGAAGCACAGAGGTTTCTTTAAAACTTTTTTAAGAGCTTCAACTAAAAGAAAAACTTGATTATTAACTCTTTTGGGGAGAATAACATTTTAAAGCTGCCATGGAATTCTTTATTTTCTTTTTATAGTGTTTTAAGTCAGGTCTGCACACATTTAAGAGATTATTTTAACTTTCCTTAAGTGCCAACGTTGTTGGACTTGGTACAACTTGGACCTGTGGGAACCACCAGCCCTTCTTCCTTCCTCCTGCCCTGACTCCCTGAGGCCCTCAGCTGCCCCGCTCTTTGGCAGAGCAGGGAACATATTCACAGAATGTGGACTCCTGCAGAGGGCATTGTTTCTTCCCCACAGAAATCATGGTCCCACACGTGGTGGGGTGAGCCATGTCTGCACGGAGGCCTCATGTCGGGCTGCTCTAGCTGAGGGCTGAATATCCCGCTGAAGGACACCGTATACATTCTGTCCAGCTGAAATTGGTTTCCTTCACCCCTAAGCTTCACTTGCTAAGTTCACTTGCTAATGAAAGAGGGCACTTAAGGTTGTAACCTGGGTTTCCTTCACCCTTTTCATAAGAACTGAGGTTGTTTTGAGTAACTTCCATCTGGCAAGCTGTTCTGGTTCCTAAAATCACCACCCAGCTTTATGTGTTATCAGTTTGCACCTTAGAAACACTGGTTTCCTAGTCCTCGGTTGGTGGAGAGTATCTGAAAGTGCATCCACTTGAGCTTTCATTTTAAATGGTCAGACTGGATCCCAACTTGGTTCTTGTTAAATTTCTCACTGTGGTGGAGCCTTTGGAATGTGCCCGAGACACGCAGTGAGCCTGCCGATCCTGCTGTCGCTGCTGAGCAGAAGCTGGACTGGCTGCTGAACAGCAAGCTCCATTGGCGGGCTCAGCGCTCCATTTTTAAATCCCAGATGGTCAAATCAGTATGAGCACTTGTCCAGCACGCGGAGTGGCCGTTATGGCCAAGGCCGCAGGGCGTTCTCTGGGTAACCTTGAGTGGGGGAGCAAGGGAGCTTCCTCCTATGGACAAGTGCAGCGTGCCAGCAGGTGTGCGCTGTCCCCAAGGACATCTCTGGCTGTCGGTGACACCACTAACTCAGCAACCTGCCTTTTTTAGTTATGTTCGGTCTTTGAAACTGACAATCTTTAAAATGTGAATACTGTAACAATATGTTTTCTTGGATTGTTGTCTTTAAAAAGGATTTTTGTGAAGCAACTGATTTATCAAAGCAAAAAATTAAAAATAGAAACATGCCTTATGGATGTTTTATTTTTATAGGGTTCATGTCACCAAGAGCTGCTTCTCACACATGGTTATGTGCTGTGTAGTGGTGTTCAGGGTCCGTGGTGACGCCTGCGCATCTTGAAACCCAGGCTGGCTCTGACGGCCCAGAGCTGTTTACATTCGCAGGCATCTTTTCTCAAATTGCTTTCTTCTGCCAACCACTGTTTTCCAGGAGAAAAGCAAATAGGTTTTTTGTTGTCATTTTCCATACACTATTTTGATGTTAATGAGGAGAAAATGATTTATCCAAGAGGCAGCATGTAGCCTTCAGTCACGCAGGTTGTCAAACTTCACAGTGAGGCGACTCCTGGCCACGTTCACAGGTGCATAATGACACCTGATGGTTCTTCTCTCTTCTCCATAGTGTGGTGACTTCCCAATAGCTGCTGTGCTTAGAAACTAAAGCATGTCAGCAGATTGAGGGATTTTAAAAAGTGCATCCCAAATTGTGGTGTTGGTAGTGATCAAAGCAAGAGCTGAGTGTGTTGTTTCAGGAAATGTTTTGATGGATTTATAGAAAATGGAGGCGCTGGGTTGCTCCAGCTCCCCAGGTGAGAGCAGGGGCATGACCACAGGCCAGCCCCACGCCCTCAGGCTGCACAGGCTTTGCTTATTAAGAAGGAGAGTTTGGCTTTTGAGGTTTATTGTAGCACTGAAATGATGTGCATGATTAATGAGACTCTGCCTGAGTAGACAGAGATGACGAATGGTCTAGCAAATCCTAAGAATAAGAAATACATTTGGTTTAAAAGTTCAGTATTTTGCATTTGGTTGAATTACGCAGACATCATAAACAACATATTAGGTTTGGCATGCGGCCCTTCTGTGTACTCCAGGAAGCCCTTGGTACAAAGCACCTTTGCCCTCAGACAGTTAGGTCTTTCTGCCTGCACCAAGACCTGGGGTCAGTATGCCACCTTATACTATGACGTACACATCCACAGAGCGGGCCCCCCGGCACCGTGCTGAGAGGGACATGCTGGCCTGAAGGCCAACTGCCCACTAGAGTCTAAGCTAATGTTTCTGCCTCCTCCACAGAGTGGCTCCAACTGCTCCTCCCGCCAGGCCTCTTCCAGCTCTGAGGGATGAGCTCGGCCTGGCTGTCCCCTGGTGAGTGCTTGGTGTACAGTGATCAGAATCTGTCCTCGGGCAATCATTACCACTCTTTGTCTTGTTCTTTGAATGGACCCAAGAATTCTGCCATGTACAAACCAACAGTGGCTTTAACATAAGTTAGAGATTCTTCCAGCATGTTTGGGGAGCACCATCTTAAGGGTAGTAATGGCTACTTTCAGAAAATGCTCATAGAAAAGTCATTGTAATGGAAGAGGAACTTTAAAATAGGTTGCTTGTGTTAACTCCGTTTTCTTCTGTCGTCTAGCAGTCCGATCCAGAGGTAAGCTCTGATCTTCTTCCTAGATTCTGCTGCCTCGTCTGTTAGTGGAGGCTGCCCTGTCAGTAGAGCTGGAGGAGGGCTCAGCTTGCCCTGAGGCCAATCAAGGATAGGAGTGGCCCACAAGAGGACCTGGTACGGGGACTGTGCTGGGAGGCCAGAGAGGCGACTTAGGCTTAGGTGGAGCAGGTTCAGAGAAAGGGATAGGGCAGAAGCCAGGTGCCATGGGTTCCCTGGGGAGCGACTGGAGCTAGTGGGAAATGATATGGGAGATCCCCTCTGTTACCCAGGGCAAGGAAGACCTTCTTTAAGACCCCAGATGCACCTGTGCCAGGACAAGCCTTGGTAGTTGGGGCCAAATGAGGTCTAAGGATTGTTCTGTGCACTGAAGGACACCATGGGTTGACAGGTGAGAATCGAAAAAGGCATCTTTCTCTTTCTTCCTTTTTTTTTTGGTGCTTATTGTTTTTATTTGTTCTTTTTGGATCTCTTTCTTCCTTTTTTAATATGTAAATCTGGCAATTAGTTATGGGAGGATTCCTCTAAATCAGTAAGCAGAAGATTAGAAATCGGTAGTAAAACAGCGGGCTGTTAATAGACGGCACTGAAGGGAAAGCAGATGGCAGCGTGCAGAGTGCCCGTCCCCACCAGCGCCCTGGACGCCCAGATGGGAACCACAGCACACCGCGGCCTCTGTCAGGCAGCTTCTGGCCCAGCACACGGGTGGAGCTTCGCCGAGGTGAGAACTGCAGCATGGGACAGCCGGAGGGGCTGCGTGCCCTGGTCCTGACCCTTGGCCGTGGTCATGCAGAGATCTGAGAGAGGCGCTGCTGCAGCCCTTGGTGACAGATGCGGCAGCCAGGCACCGTGCCCCATAGAGTGTAAGCAAAGTCGGTGCTGCTGCAGATGACCTTTGGCTTCTGGGTTGGGGCACCTGGGTGACAGGGCAGCTATTCTTGAGTCTAGTTCTGTTGGTGGTTGTATTCCTTGGTCGTGGGTTGACTTTTCTTTGACACGTGCCTCATGCCTCTTGAGGGCTAGATATTTTTTTTGTAGGACGGTGTAGAGACCAAGGTAAATGGTCCTCACGCCCAGCAGTGGTCACGCCCGTCTGGGCAGGCTGCGAGTGGTCTGTTTGCTGGTTGGTTGCTGGCTGTAGGTCTGGGTGTGGTTTTCCTCACTTGCAGCACCAGGTCCTCCAGTCCTCCAGCTGTGGCCACAACTGGCCTATGCTCAGTCTGGGGCCCCAGGGGATTTTTCCATGTTGCTGCCCTGCACCAGAAGGGCATACACGTGCCACCATGTGGCATCTCTGTTCTTGGCCCCACCCCAGCAGAAGGGTGACACAGTTCTGGGTTCTCTTTGGCCTCAGTCATAGACAGGCTTCGTCCCCGTGGGGCGAAGCTCATGCCCACTCCTGCCTCTGCTCCCACAGCTTGCCTGACATCTGGGCAGCACTAGAGCTGGGAAGTACCTGGGGCAGGACACCTGTGGGTCTGACAGGTGCTGTTCCTCCGGGGCGATGCACCCTGAGTGTTCCTGGGTCCCTGCGAGTTCCCCGCCTCACCCACAGCCACCACCACTCACTGTTGAGCATTTCTTGGCATCTGAGGTGCCTGGGCTGTCTGCTGCCCAGCCCATGGTGCTGCTCCTTCCTCCCGTGTTCTGCCCTGCGGCAGCTGAGTCCCCTCCCTCCTAGGAGGAGCTCGTCCTCTCTGGATTTAGTCCATCAGTGGTCTTGCAGCTGTGACTGGCCATGCCTGTCCTTGCTAAGGGGAGGTGGTGTTCTGGTGACCTTGTGCATTACCGTGGAAGCGGAGCTGCAACAGTGGTAATTAGGTTTGAGCAGAGCAAAAAGCCGCAGAGACAGACGGCACCCTCCTGTGGAGCTGCCGAGGCTGGGCCAGCACAGGCTTCCTCCAGGGCGCACCTGGCTCTGGCCTCATATCCAGGAACTGAGCCTCAGGAATGTGAGGGCACAGCTGGGCTCAGAGGCCGTTTTCCTCAGGAGGAGGGCCGTGCTCCCTGTCCCTGCCTGACGCCCAAGGCTGTGTGGTGAGAGGCTGCTGACGTGGCATTCCCTGCGGTGGCCACACACGGCTCCAGCCCACACGCCCTTCAGGTGAGGCCCTGCTCTTGACCAGGGCTGTGGACAGGACCAAGGAGCATGTGCCACTGTGGGGCTGAGGGCTGAGGGGTGCCCAAGCTCGGGCCCCAGCTGTCCAGCTGGCTTCCTTCTTGCTGGAAGGGAGCCCAGGCCAGGTGAGAGGCCGGGCCCCCCTGCCAGGCACACAGGAGTGAGCTTGCCGACCCTGGCTGGGGCTGTGGCGGCGTGGGGGTGGGGGTGGGGGTAAGCCGGTCAGAGATGGATGTGCCCTTCAGTTCTGGAAGAAAAAGCCTGATTTCTGCTGAATCCAGAGGCCAGATGGAGTCCTCAGAGGACTAACTCCCAAAAGACCCCAGCAGACTGGTGCTCTCATCCACAACCAGTGTTCCCAAGGCCCCAGGTCTCCGGGGGCCTGATTTCAAGAAGGGCCCATTTGTGGTGGTGGCCTGTGTGTCCTGCCGGGCTGCGCTGACCCGTCTTCAAGGTCGCGGTGTCCGAGCAGGCTGTCGTGTTCCGGCACCACCGACTTTGCTAGACCCGCGCTTGGCAGGCCTCTCACTTCTTTTTTAAACCAGCAGCACAGATGCGGACCTTAGCTTGGCTCGTGCCGTAACTGTGCATTCTGACCGTAGAGGAGTCGGTCTGGAGAAAGCAAACACAGTGCTCGACGGTGGCCTGCCAAGCCCTGCCTTGTTTGACGTCACCCTTCCCTGGCTCCTGTCAACCCCAGGACCACTCCCAGGCTCAGAGGAGAGGCAGGGCCTCCCTGACATCTGAACTGGATAGTCCCCAGCTAGAGAGTGAGGCCTGGGTAATGGGGTGGGGTCCCACAGGACTGTGGGGTCCTGCACGGTCCACAGCCCTCAGACCAAGGCAGGCAGGCAGTGCCCGGTACCTCACAGGCTGTCCTTGGTGTCTGTGGGCCTCTGAGTTTCTGGTCCTGCAGCATTGGCCCTCTGGATTCCAGCTGGCCTCCCGTCCTCCCCAGCGTGGAGGTGGGCAGTGTGTTGCTCCCTTTCCTGCTGCAGTCGCACGCTGTCCCTCTTGTATTCCTCCAGGTCAGGAACTACAGGTTCAGTAGAGCAGTGCTCCATCCTGCCCACTAAGGCGGAAGGCGCTGACCGGAGCCCAGTGCGGTGGCACGCGCCTCACGCCAGCTGCCGAAGCAGGAGGACCACAGCTAAGGCCAGCCTCGGCAACTTAGCCCCATCTTGCCTTGAAATAAATGGTGGGCCGGGGACACAGCTCCGTGGTAAAGTATCCTGGGCTCCATCTCTAGTACTGCAACAAAACAAAGCAAAACTGACATGTATTTCTCTTTACATATTGCAGGGATTTTTACTTAATTCTAAAATTAAAAAATTAGAGAACTTAAAATAATCCTGAGGAAATAGCCAGCACCTAGCCCTCCACCCGCCGTCCACCCACCATCCACCCTCCTGCAGTATTGGTCTCTGTAGGAGCTGGCCAGG